CATCATCAGGCATTCCGCACGCCGGGTTCATTCAACCTTTGGTATTCTGCGTAAACTCGTCGTCGACGACACAGGATCCAGGAATGGTATGCCATGAAGGAGCCACACGTGGACAACCCGACGAATACGAAAACGAGGAAGCTGAAAAGCGTGGAAGACATCGGTGGGCCTGGTTTGTCCTCGGGTAATGCGTTTGTAGCGTTGATCATGAAGCCAAGGGCCCAGCCAACATCAGTTCCGTTCGGAGTCTGAAATCAGACCCAAAATGGTATCGATTATGCACACTGAAAAATGTTTCAAAAAAGAAAAAAAATTGCCGAACGAACAAGAGCACGAAGTAGCACGCATCAATACAACGTCTGAGAAGAATTTGGTTCGGACTCCAATTTCACGAGCAACCATCAAAAGATGAATTTTCAAGTTCAAAAATGGAAAAAAGAGCAAGTTTAACAATAACCATCGAGACTTCGCAATCTCGTTCTTGTCACTGCTCTTCTGAGCAATTTATTCTTTTTTCTTTCCACGACACGCTTTCGTCTTCACTCGCTTTTTTTGTGAAATTGCTAAAAATATTCAGACCTATCAAAGTACTGTATACGAAAGAGCAAGTTCAACAATAACCATTGGGACTTGCGATTCCGTTTTCGTCACAGCTCTTCCCAGCAATTTTATTTTTTGCACAAACGCTCACGTCTGGACTCGCTTTCTTCTGTGAAATCGCTAAAAACAATTCAGAACTACCGAAATACTGTATGCTAAAAAACTTTCAGACTTCATCTCACTTTTACGAACTTCTGCTCATAAGCGTATTTCAATAAATCGAAGCGTAGCGCGAATCTAAAATCTACACTCACGGGCAGCTTCCGTCGGAATTCGATCAACTTAAATTCCTCCCCACCCATTCCGTAATTGTCCCGCAAAATCTTGTAAATCAGAAAAGCCTCAAAGCAGAACACGTGTTCAATCTTCTCCCCGGCTTTGCCTGCGTACAAGTCCGACATCGTCTGATAAGTTCGACTGCAAAGCTCCAGGGCAGCCTCATAGAAAGTCTCTTCCGACACGGATGATGGGAGCCCCAACTCGGAAGCGGCATAGTAGAAGATTGAAAAGGCCTGCGATATGAGTTGTTACAATCACATATCGTGATCACGAGAAGATACAATTCAGCGGAAACGCTTACAATGAACGAGGTTCCTTCAATACGAGGCGGTACAGTCGAAGAGTTGAAGCAAAAATTTGAGTATTTGTTGCATTCTTCCGCACTCAGAAGTTCGTCAATGGTTGCACTGCATTCGGTTTCGTTCCACGCTCCAACAATCGGCACAGTTTCAGAAGTCTAGACAAGAAAACAAACAATACAGTGGACCCTCGGTTAACAAACTTACTCAGTTGCAGACAAAAGCTTGTTAAATACATTTTATTTTACCATAGACTTCAATGGAGAATCGATTGATCTCTTCCTGGGACTCAAAATACAATTGAAAATTTAATGAAAAAAAAATGCAGGACAAATATGTAATCTGAGTTATTGCAGCATCAATTGTGCATGTTCATAATGTTTTCTAGGGTTTCATGGAAGTATGACCAATGAAAACAAGACTCAAAAAGCTTCACATCCAGAAAAACATTCACACATGAGTAGGATAACTCACCAGAAAGTGGAATGTTAATTTTTAAATTGCGTAACTAACAAATAAATTCAGCAATTGAACAGTGGAAACAAATGGAAAAATCGGTTTGAAAGTGCCTCCGTACACGTCTTTTTACAGCTGGATATCATTTTTTATAGATTATGCTCAAACAATGGAATATCCATGGCACCCACTAATTTACTCTACTGTATTGATGTTGAACAACCTTTGAAAATATTGTGTTGGCCTTTGGTCTGCCCATTAATTTTTCTGCTTGCTTTTTTCCATTGGAACTGCAATTAGATCCTACTACAGTTCAGTTTCATAACCAAATTTTGAATTTTTTTTCCTGGGAACAAAAGTTTTGACCAAATTCTAGTTTGTTCACTCGAGGATTTTCTTTGAGGACAAACATTTGTTAACTAAGAAGTTTGTTGAATGAGGGGTTTGCTGACTGAGGGTCCACTGTAATGAATCTAAAACTTACAAACCACTTCTGTTCCACATCAAAATTCATCCTAAGACTGGAGTATTTTTGCGTTTAAAACGGGTTTCATCAGTGCATCTCCAACACTGCATAAAACTACACGCAGCACCAGGAATTTCATGAATACTTTTTGGGTTCTTTGAAATCAAACAGAACACACGCAGGCTTTTGTTAGAAAAGCCAGGTCTCAGAAAAGCTTTAAGCAAATAATGGCAGGTCCCTAATAGTGGGGTCAAAGAAGTGGGGGGTTATGGAAAAAAATCCTGAAAATTTCCTCATTAAAATAAAAATCGTTTACACCCATTTATTAAGAGCTGAAGAAAGAATTACTTTACATTTTTGATAGCAGGGTTTTTTCATTTTCGAAAAACAAAGTTGATCACAGGGTTTTCTATTTTTTTATCAGGAGTTTCCCCGTTGATTTCTCTTGTCTAAATGACAGTCTCTATTAAACGCCGGGAGAAAAATTTGGTGAAGGTATTTTCTGTAGAACCAATTTTTTCTGGCCCTATAGGCTTTTCCCTCCACATTACAGGGTTTCTCCACTACGAAATAGTATCTATTAAATTTTTTTTTTACGGTCCCTTGAATTTTGTAGAAGAGAGATTCCATCTGTATTTTAAATAAACGCCAGAAGCAATTACAGTATTAGAGAATATACGGTACATGAGATGGATCTCCGCCTTTTTTTTTTTGGGGATATCTCTTACTTTTCTTCTTTCAGGAATCTGTTCTCACATAGGATCACCAGCAATTTCAACATGTTTCCGCAAGTGAAATAATAATCGACGTAACTACTGTACCTCTGCCAAAGTGGTCGACTGAAGTCCTTGCGTACACGGCGAGTCAAACAGCCAAGACACGGAGACATTGCTAACCCTTCCAGCATTCCCGCAAGGATCGGAAATAGCAACTCCCGGCGTCGATTTGGCATAAAGTAAGGCCAAGTATCGCCGATGCGATTCATTTATTCCGAAACAAGTGAAACTTCGAGAAAATATGCGATAAGAGTGTCCGAAAAGCCGCAAATTTGCTTCGTCTTTCGGATCTGCAATCGGTGTTCCCTCCGTCACTTCAAACGTGATTTGCGTAGAGGCACCACCCATATCCATAGCACCGTATGTTTTCCGCTTCGGTGGGAACTTTCCGGGGATATCCACGTCCTAAATGTGTATATCAATTGGAATTAATACATGGGCACTTGGGGTGTTGACCGTCTGATCAATATCTCACGTCGTCATAGAGGATTTCTTGTAGGAAGTTCACAGTGATCCATCCGTCAATGCCTTCTTCATGCCCCGTGATAATCTCGCATCTTTGCAAAGACAATCCCGAGGAGCTAAGGGAAATCCTGGTGGCTTCCATAAGCAACTGGCTGCGCTCTGGTTTCACCATCCTACACGCAATAAAAATCAACTTTTTTACCGAATTGACATGCTTTTCTTTAAAACACAAATGTAGAAGCTCCACGTCTGTAAATTGTTACGCAGTGTCACAGACCAGTATTAAATGTTCTGGGCAGGATTGGCCAACTAAAGAAAAAAAAAAAGAACAGCGAGGATTTCACATGAAGATGATTAGACATACACGAACTCGAAACTCAGAAAACTTGCCATGTAAATCTTTTAACTCAAAGACACTTGAGCAAAAAAATTCCAGGACGGTTATGACATGCAGATGATTTGACTTACAAAGATTTTGAACTCAGATCTGGTCTGACAACGTTTCAATGCAAACACAGTTTGCCTACATTTCCAGGAAAAATTTCTGCATATACTCCAGTATCACAAGCTCTCAAGTAAGACACACACCAACATTTTTTTAATGCTAAAATTTTGATAAAAACACCATCCCACTTGAAGACGCTCACCAGTTTTCATTCATCAAAATTCATTTTCTAAAAAGTAAAATTAATAAAAATTACACAGAGCAAAATTTAAATACTTTACAACTATACAAGCCAGACTTCAAACTTGAATCCAATGTTTATGTTTTTGTCTCATGCAAATAATAGAATCATTAAGCAAGAGAACTGTAAAAAAGTTAGCATGGAAACATTTTTCAAAATACAGAAGTGTCACTTGAAAGTTTGCACCTCACTATAACTTGCATCAGTTTCCCCCATCCCCAGAGAAAAAGTGCAGTGAACTTGGTGCTTGCAAAAGTATGGTATTTTTCAAAATATTGCTACTTCTTCAACATGGGCAAAATTTGAAATATTATTGCAGTATTGTAAGAATTCACGGTACTTTCCTGTTATCTCTGTACCTTCCCTCTGACCAATTTAACCTGACCTAACCTAACTTCACCTAACCACCTCCCAAAATCAGTTTCTGCTTTCTTTGGGTTTCTGCTGAAACTGATTTTTGGGAGGCTCATGCACCCAAACCCAAAATCAGTTTCTGCTTTCTTTGGGTTTCTGCTGAAACTGATTTTGGGAGGCAGTTAGGTAAAGTTAGGTTAGGTCAGGTTATGTTAATTAAAATATATTTGTAACTAACATAACCTGACCAAACCTAACTTTACCTATCTGCCTACCAAAATCAGTTTCAGCAGAATGCAGAAAAATAAAATTCAGTTTCTGGTAGGTTGTTGTGATTATGAACTCGTCCTGAAGATTTGTCTGGATGGTAGTCCGGTCTAGGACTCTCCTATATTGTGCTCCTATTTTTGGGTTTTTTTCCTTCATCAACAGTGCACAGTATACCAATATTAATTCTTTTGTGTCCTTGACTCCTTTTCATGCCAAAAGGTGACATTTGGCGTAGTTTTCTGAATCTTAGTAAAGAAAATTTTCTTTTTTTAAAACTAAATACCTCCATTTCAAATATTTGAGTATTGAGTTCAGTTCACAATTGTCCGGAATTTTCTTCATCAGGTTAGTGATTCAGGCGAGGCACAAAAATATGATGATGTGGTAGGAGTTGAATATTCACCCAAATTATGGACTTACTGCAAAAGCCGCATTCCCGCTGTTGCTCCCAAATAGATGGGGGTCGAAAACCGTTCCTTCTGCGGCAATTTTTTCCGTATTTCATTCATNTACTTTGTCTCCGGGGTCAACATTCATGCAAGTCCAGCCGGATAGCGGCCCAGACAATGTACTATGCACTTGTATTTGCATAACAAAATAAAAAATTCTGGAACATTAAAAAACAGCAAGAATACAGAAGATTTTCCCAGTTTTCCGCTCAATAGTGCAGCCTTGCAGCTATAGCCTCTACCGACCTTTCGGAATTGGACATCGCACACTCACCGTATTCACCAAGTTAGTGGAGAATTCAGCAGATATCTCACTTTACTAATTTTTATTGCTTCGTCAATGACAGGTCACTAGCGGTTGAACATGGGACCACATAATTTACCAACCACTATCTTTAACGACCAGTTTCTCGGTGCTTGTCACGTAGTAAGCTTCTCAAGGATATTTAAGTCCAATTTGCCTCTCGACACATTTTTACTTCACCGTCACACTTCACGACGGTCAGAAATTCTGTAGAACTAAAATCAGCAGTAGTACGAGAACGACCCCACCTCGCTTCACGTGGGAGCAGAACTCCCAATTTTCGAAGTGATCGAGATGCTTATGATGGACATTGAATCCCAACGTTCAATGTTTTGGTAGATGTCGCTTGTTGTTACATGTTAGTTAACATTTCTACGTTCAGTTGTGCATTCAGGATTGCCATGCTTTTAAGATATGAGAAATATGACATCTACGGTTATTTTGGCAAGATCGCGAACCCATCGTTTAGCATCAAAAGATACACTAGGTGGACATACACAGTATACGGCAACGAATTAACGCCACATTCACACTTTCCTACTCCCCATCACCATGTGGGCGTATCGCACTGCGCTTATGGCCCGCACTTAATCTCAGTACAGTTGTGGAAAACCGTTTAATTGACAGTATTGTTCTTGTGTACACCCGTATCGGCTCTTCGCTGTTGTAGTCTTCTTCAAGCCGTATCCGAGGCAAGGTACAGTACCTTGCACTTCTACAATTTTCAGAAATTTGGTACCGTGAGTTGCAAGTTCCTTATCTCATCATGATTCCATGAGTATTTTCGGTGAGCAATGCGCTTTGCTTGCTCATTTTTGGAGCAATCGCTTCGGCATGAGTGCTCTTAAGTTCGCGCTTCTCGTGCCATGTTTCACTGCATTTAATTCCGTGGCTTACGTATATATACCCTTACGAATGTATTGTTTGTTTCTTGCCGATTCGTAGAACTGTGATATTGACCCGTGTCTTGCCAACGTTGTTATACTGTTATGGGTTTGGTGGACCATGGTCCTTTCTCAGTATCACCAGGTGAGCCGATTCCTTCAAGTACTCTGTCTAGTTCTTCTTTTGGAGCACTTTATTACCCACAGAGCCTCTTGAAGTCGACCCAACCACGCTCGCAATTCGGGAGCACATAGAGAACGTCGTCGAAAAATTAATCAACGGACAACTTGATAACGCTGCCGTCGGACGGATCTTCCAGGATCCTCTGTGTAAATATTTTCTCGAAAAAATGAATATGTCGAAATCCTTATCGAAGGACTGTGCTGTGTGTATTGTAGATGATGGATTGTTCCTTAAGTATGTCGGACCGCTTGCGGAGTCTCTGGCAGATTTGGGAGTTGCAATTCAACTCGCGCTCGCTGGCGAACCTGGAGATGTTCCTAGCTCTGCTCATGCTGGTGTGCAAATATTGATAGAGGAGCTTGAATTGGAATGCCGACGCATTCCCTTATTCAAGGTGCTATAACGCGTTTTCTCCAAGTGTTTTAAGTTCATGTGATGAAAGCAAATATGGATTTGTGTTAGCAGTATGTTGGGGAATCGTTGCCTGATGACTTCGCTTCACAGACCTACGAAGAAATATTGGCTCAGGCTATCTTGAACCAGGTGAATCATCCGCGCCGTTTTTTGAGAACTGAAATCTGTCATTAGAAGACGCGTCATTTTGCAAGAATTAGCTTTTTAATAAGAAAACGATGAGTTACGCAAATGATGGTTAATAACTTTCAAGTTTTTGGGTGCCCTTTTGTATTTCTTTAAACTAATTATTTTTTTTAATATAAAGCACAGGATTTGCAATGCGCATTTTCTTCAGTTTGTCGAACTGGAATTTCGTGGAATTTTTTGTTCCTTGAAGTACGGATCGATGCCCGAATCCTTATTGTTGCGTCTCATTGGAAATCGATAGGCTTTAGCGTTGTTCGCGGATTTTTTTTTCTTCGTTAGATTATGCGAGTGAATGTAAAACTTTTCTTAGGTGGTACTTGAGCGTCAGTGTGCTCTTGGTCTTCGATCTCCAAGTCGCACCAGGGATTCTCAGGTCCAAACTGACGGGGAATTGGATTCTTTAGATGAAGGCTTCTTTCGTGCTGACGAGACGAGTGAGTACACGCTTCGAATGTGTTGATTCTTTACAGGTTTCGAAAAGAGAGTGGTTGTCTGTCACGAATCCCGTATTCCTTCTTGATTTCGGTTATGGAAGGCAGTGAAAATAATTTTGTTTCGTAAATTTTCGAAGAATTTTGAAATATCCTGATACAGTAGTTTGTTTTTTTACTCTGAACTGTTCATCTGTATCTTTGATTCTTCTTCAAAGATACAGTACGAATCAATGTCGGCTTAAGAATTTATGATTAGGACGTTTGAAAATTATACATATCGAAAGAAATTCTTAGTAACTAATGAAAATAATGTTCGATTGTAAATTAGGAGAGCCATCTTCATTAGATTGTCGAAATGTTGGGTTTATCTTTCTTATTCTTTTTTTTTTCTTCATCTTTCGAGACTTTTTAAAAATTTGTTATGCAGTTCAGAGAGATTCTTGCGCTAAAAGACGCACAAAGTGAAATAATTTCGGGGTTTATCAACAAAGTTGTGTCAAAGAAAGCTTCGACAGGAAAAATCCTATCATCCCGAAGAGAAAACTTATGGTTCCTTGGATCGGAATGGTTAATATTTTTAATCTTTTCGATGCAAATCCCATCATGATTGATCCACTACAAATGGGATACGGAGAAACAAGTGAAGTACAGTATTGCCATGAGGATACCACAAATTTTCTTTAGTCATTCAATCAGATGGAGATTGATGTCGCCGATTTCCTTCGCACCCCGATTAGAGTCCAATTTAATCAAATGAGCGAAAAATGTCTTATTTTCTCTACAAGACGCCGATTACTCAATTTTTACCGGGTAGATGCCAGGATTTTTTAGCTACAATAGTTCAAGCTCCCTGTGACGCGAATTTTGTTGTTGAATCATCTTCAAAAAGTATCGAAACTTCGCGCGTTTTTTTTTTTTTTCGAGAGAAGTTTGAAATAACCCAGAAATTCAATTCATTTCGACTTCGTGCCGCGTATCTAGAAGTTCAACCCGATCTTGCGTAGTACAGTACCTTCTGACTTCGTGAAAGTTTGCGATGATGCAGCAAACGCACCTGTTCCTGATTACTCAGCTGTATTTCTGTGGAGTCCTTGATAAAAACGTGCCCGATGCTGTCCGCTTATCTGTTCCATGCTCCCGCATTTCCGCGGCTTCCATAGGGAAAATTTTCGGCTAAGTGTCCCATTGATTTTTTCCCATGCGAGCGGCATGGATCCCGCCGTTGTAGTCCTCCTCGCATTGACCACCATAGTCATATCGGCCTTGATTTACCAAGTGGGCTTGTTGTTGCAAGCCGAAGACGTGGTGCATTCCCTGGTCGCTAATTGGGACTCTACGCATCGTACCCGTGTGTCTGCTAACCGATTACATCGTTGCGTAGGACGCAGTTTCAAGCGAACGACCCAAAAGGCCGTGTCCACGGAGGATGACGGGTCCTCGTCGGTTTCCACGTCGAACGGATGTCCACGGTGTTCGTCTTCCGCTGACACGTCCACCTCGGAATTTCTCGTAAATATATATTTTTTTTTCTTTTTTGGAATGTTCTTTGTGTTTCTGTTTTTTTTCAGTCTTGATGAGCTAATGGAAAGATTCTTGGCTTTTTTGCTCCGCATGCTCACACATTCGAAGCGTCAACGAATGAGTAAACACTTCGAATATTTTTGTGTGTTTTTGACAGGTTTTTGAAAAACGGGTGATTGACTGTCTCAGGTCCCCGTGTTTCTTCTTAATTTCGTTTTTGGAATTGAAAAAAAAGTTTTTGGTAAATTGTCACGAGCATTTTGGAAATATTCCGATGGTTTGTCTTTGACTGTGAACTGCTCGTCGAGAACTTGAAAATTCAAGGGTTCGTTCTCAAAGATACAAATTATATTTTAATCCATTAATTTAATCAAAATTTACAATCTTCACGGTTTTCATTGAGCATGCACGGAGCCCTTCGGCATTCTCTTGAACTGAACAGGGGTTCCGCGAACGCTCCATGAAAACAGTGAAGATAACTATGGATTAAATATTTTATCAAGATTTGAAAATGATTGGCGAGAGCTCGTGTGTACGTATTTTTCAAAAAGTGGGTTATTGACGGAATGGTAACCGAAAAAATGAAGTTTGATATGCTTTGAAAATTCGATGTACGTTTTCAAAACGATGATTTTCTCGAAGTAGTCCGAAATAAGCAGCGATTTAATGTTCCAACATCTCAGAAACCTTTTTGCATTTTTTTTTAAGTTTGACGATATTGTACGGTAAAACATGATGTGAACAACGCGCATACTTTTTAGAGAATTCAAAGGGAGATACAGTATTGGTGAAGGAACTAATATCTGAGTCAAAAATGTTTTTATACCGAGTGACGTGGGAACGAAAATATTTCTTGTGAGATCAAGAAAAAGTTAAAATGTTCGCTAAGAAGAAAATTGAGTTGCAGTATGTTCATCAAGATTTTTTTAAATCGTTCGATGAGGTTTAATCACTAGAGAATCGGTTCACCTTTTGCTCCACTTTGTACGATGAAATTTTTAGAAAATAGTGAAACAATCGACAGTGCACCGCGGATCCTCCGGTTGAAGTACTTGTGAAATAAACTCGTGTTTTAAAATTTGTATGGCTTCTCATAATTTCGTGAGTGCGGTCATTTCTTCATTGCTTGACTCGTCAACCAAACCTACCATATACAGTACAATACTCTGTTAACCGTCGCCGAAAGACCCAACTTTCAAAAACGAATGTATTTTGCATTGTCTGCAGCCTTTTTTTTATTGTTCCTTATTTTACTGAATCATAGATCGAAGAGAAAACAGAAGAGGTCACGGTGACAGTGGAAGACAATGACTCGGACGACAGTTCCTCTGGAGTTTGTAAGTCCGGAGACGATGACTGGTCAAGTTGTGGAAGTAAAACGAGTCGTGGACGAAGCGTGCGGGTTCCTTTCCCTGAATATGGATTAGACATCGTGGAAGGTGAGTCAGGCAGTTGAAATGCCCTTTATGTCCATGTTACATTGGTAAGAGACAATCACTTGATTAACTTTTTTTTATGTGCTAGAAAATCGAATTTTTGCGGATTCGGAATTTAGAAAGGGTTGGTTCTATAGTTGAACCTCTTCAAGTTGAATCCCAAGACACCAGCGCAAAATAAATTCAAGAGTTTCAAGATGAGAAAAAGCACCATTTTTTGCTTTGATAAAGAACAAATAGAGTTGGAAGAAGTGATCGTTCTTGGTCAAGAACTGCGTTTTAAAGAAGTTGACGACTGAAAGCTAAACTACGTGGCAGCGGTTCAATTACCCAATTATACTTTCACCTCCTTTGAAAAAGTATCAAGTTACATTTTTATTGCCTTTTCTTTTTTCGAGGTCGCGAAATACCGTCCTAGCCAGAATGCCCTCGGCAAATTCGTCTTCCTCTCGTTGGGAACTTTTTTTACATTTTTTTTCTAAGGAAATTCAGGCGAGGACTTGAAACAAATTTGACATAGGGGAGTTTAAATTATCGAGGTTCAATTGTAGTTCGGAATTACAATGGAATTATTTAAAATGAGCTGGTTGTATAAAAATCTGGGGATCATATCACAAAATTATGATGCAGTTCACGAAGTAGCGTGTTTTAAGTATTGTACAAAAGAACTCAGAGGGTGTTGGAGTTGTGTTATAATTTTTTTTTATTTGCATGCATTTCTTTCTACAGCAGATAGACAAAGATGAGCGGGATTTGTATTCATCGGTATTTTGATCATTTGTTGATCCAGGTTCCAAATTTTCCCCCCCAGGTTTGATTGATTGATGTACAGTACAAGCTTTATTTGCCACTTGTCATTATTCACAAGGTTCAAGAAAAATTTTCCCAAATCCTTCCCATGCATCCATTCAACACATTTTGGCTTGTCAAGATGCAAAATAATTCGTGAAATGGGTACTGAAAGAAAATGCATCACAATACGGTACATACAAATGCATGAATAATGAGTTGCCAACCTGTTCTGTGATAAAAAGCATAGCTTGAATCAATTACAGAGCAAACATTTAAGCACTAGGAGATCAGGCTGTTCACAGATAAATTTTGATTGATTCAAGAATTCAGAGAGAATGTTTAAGGAAAAATCATATTTAGCTAAAAAAAATTCCTGCTCCTCTAAAATCTCAGCCACCAAGGTTGAAATTATAATAAGATAGTTGAAAGATATCCCCATGTACTGTATGTGAGGAAATCACATTTTTCAAAGGCCATACATTATTTACATTTTTATGCATTTTCAGGGAGTCTTAGATTACGTAAGAAAGAATGGGAAAGGGTCCTTAGTGATGATGTCTGCCAATGATCCCGAGGTTGTCCTGAAATTTTAATTGAAAAGGCTCTAATTGGATTTTAGGAGACACACAATTTAAGGAGACATCCTTGAAGTCTATTTGATCCTGTCATCGATTTGAAAATCCTGGCTGATGTTCATGGGTACCCTGATAGATCTCTTCGAAGTTTTATTCGTACTGTATCTGTAATTTTTCTTGCCCTGAAATTTTAATTGATGAATTTAAAGGCCGAAATTACATGTTAGGAGACACAATATATAATGAGACTCCCTTGAAGTATTGCATTCGATTTTGTCGTCAGTCGGACATCCTGGCTGAGAAACTTGGGTACCCGGATAAATCTCTTGCATTTTTCTTCTCGTTAACCAATGACTTCAACTAAAATTCGTGGGCCTTTTTTCAACGTTTGTTTTGTGATCGTTATTTTTTTTAGTTCTTGTTGTTTAGGTGTTCAGCCCAATTTCCAATTTAAAATTTTTCGATGTGTTGATCGATGTCTTTGAAATTCTTGCGCAGAAACTTCAGAGCTTGGTTCTGATTCGGACGGCACGACGTACAAGTGCATGAACCACGAATCCTGGGAAGAAAACTGGTTATTCCAGCGTCAGCGTTCCATGGGAAAACTTTGGGGTGACGACAATGTGTCGATGCTTATCCCGAATCCGAATTCCAACGCAGTCCCGCGCATCGGCGACAAAGACGTGGACGAACTCTCTGAACTATCCGAACACATTTCCATCGGTTCCATCGATTACTCTTCTACATCCAGTGACGAATTTGAGAGTGAACACGCTCGCGACACGAAAACGAAAGCTGCGGATTTCGGACAGAAGGATTCGGAATACACTGAAGATTACGCGGCTTACGTCAACCGAAGACCGAAGTTTGAAGAGTCTGATGACGAGCATGAAAAAGTTGGAGAAGTGCTTGAGCTTAATGTGTGTGTTGAGAGGCAGTCGAATGAAGCGATAAATCCCCGAGTATTCCGGTTGAACGGACGGGAATCGCGAGTCATTTCCGAGAGGTGAGTTTTTGAATGAGATAGTTCGCATGTTATCTTTGTCAAATCGTTCGCGGAACCACTTCAGAATATTTGTGAGATCCTGAAAAGTTACTTCGATATGAGAAATTCTTTTTTCTCGGGTTTGTTTCATATCTCCGACGACTCTGACGAACCCTTGCAGATGTATATAAAATTTGTAATGAACATGTAAACATCGAGTAGAAAAAAAATTGAATGGACCTGAAAGACGAATGCCCCAAGAAAAAAAGAATTTTGAATGAGATACTCGGCATGCTTTATAAAATCTTTCCCAGAACCACTTCAAATACAGTATTGGGGAGATACAGAAAAATTACTATGATATGAAAAATAATTTTTATTTTATTACTTTCGTATCTCTGACTAGCGCTTTTGCAAGCATCCAAAAATTGTAAACATCCAGAAATAAAATTGATGAATGGCTCTGAATGACGAATGCCCAAAAAAGTAGGAGTTTTGAATGATGAAGTCCTCACGGTTTGTGAAATTTTTTGCAGAACCGCTTCAAAATATTGGAGATATCTAGAAAAGTTGCTTTGATGTGAAAAACACTTGGTCTTGGGTTTATTTCAAATCTCTGACCAACACTTTCGTAAGTACCGTATTTACTTGAGTACCACGCGCACCTTTTTTCCCGAATTTCAGAAGAAAAAAAGGGGTGCATGTCATAAGTGGGTACAAAATTTTCAAGAAGTTTTAGGAAGTTATGTGTGCAATTTTTTTGTTTGAAATTTTATGGTTTTAGATTCACTAAAAATTGGGGTGCGCGTCTTACTTGGGGATAAGATTTTTGCAAAATTTTCAACTGAAAAACCCCGCGCCTTACTCAAGGACGCATGGTACTCAAGTAAATATAGTGTACAAAGATTGGTCATGAATATGTGAACATTGAAAAAGGAAAAATAACTTGATGAATAGACCTGAATTACAAGTGGCAAAAGAAAAGAATAATTAAATGTTATCTTGAGGATCCTGTGAGTCAAGTAGATGTTTGTTAAAATTGTAAGTGAAAGATCTTTTGTGGAGCAAGAAGGCTGGGGAAATCCCAGTGGAGGTTTCCTTGTCTCTACTCACTTCAAACTTCTCTTCAGCTCATTGCGCTTTCATCAGAATATCACAATTACTCAATATTCCAGGTTTTTTCTCTATTTTGTCTACCACACACACACGTGCGCGCGAATCTGGTTGTGCACAAATTTTGTCACTGTATCACAAAAAAATTGGTGCAACCAAGGGTGCCCAGTAAAAACACTTCTAAAAAAATATCTTAAAGCAGAAATAGTAAAATCAGACATCAGTAAATGAGCTATGATTACTGTAAATTGTTCAAGGACGCTTATACTATTAAAAAACGCATTATTGGCTTGGAGAAGATTGTAAATTGCAATAGTGGATTGAAAATTGTTTATGGGTTTTTTAATGTTTTTTATTTTACTTTCTTTCCTCATCCATTGCTTTTATCAATTATATATACCTATGATCAATTTAGATTGCTCAATGGCCATTTACCCTAGGGAGAGATCATTCTCTCTGTTGGGATGAGAAAATTTAATTGATGAATTGAAAATGATATGCTACTTATTCACGTTTTGGACGCTCAATATTTTTCTTTCTTCATGCATTATGCTTTTTCAAAAATACGTCGGCCGTACAGTATAATTATAAATTTACTGTCTTTTAAAAATGCTTCATTACATCGGATAGAATAGGAAAATTCAATAGATGAATGATAAATTATGTACTGTACTGCTCATCAACTTTTAAGGCACTCGGATTTAATTTTTTTCTTCTCATCCTGATTTTAAAATACAGTAAGACGAATTGAGAATCTAATGCGCAAAGATAAATAAGTTTATTTTTTGATGTTCGGTCAACCAAGCGCCGTAATGGACTTCGCAAAAACTGTGCTCACTTTTTCAGCCATGAAGCGACTCCTGCTGTTGAAATCCGGAAGGAAGAAGGGCTATTTGTGCAACCGACTCTGAGAAGGGAACCTCCGGAAGGGCTCCGAGTCTCCCTGTCACCCGCCACGTTGAGCCTTCATGCGGGAAAAGCTCTCAAACTTCGGTGTTGCATAGAAGGAGCCAAACCTGAAAGTAAGTACTGCTTAGGAGTTCGTGCATCGGTTTTACTTGGAATTTCTGTCAGTACTTTCAAGTATTTAGCCTCTTACGCTTTTAATGCGGAGAAGTGAAAACATTGTTGAATGTTCGAAATGAATTGCAATAATTCAAAGAATAAATTCAGTCAATTTTGTACGGCTTCCGAAAGGACGGGGAAAGGAAAATCTCCAAAAATAAATTAATTCCTTTCTTTTGAAGAATTCATCTAATGTATGTTAAAATTTTACCGGGATTTGGCGAAAAATGTCGCTGAAACAGTGGGCCCTCGCATAAAGAAAATAATCCGTTCTTGGGATTAGTTTCGTTCTGTGGAATTTTCGTAATATTTAACGCATTTTTCTATACAATCGCATTGTAAGTGTTTTAATTCGTTCCAGACACGAAAAGACTGGGATGAACCATAAAATTTGTGTATTTTTTGCATTCAATTGTGAATTTGAAACATATAATGGTAGTATAAAATTGAAGAACAGTCGGTCCCCACGGGAAAAAACTAAGCCTTTTCCGGATGAGTTTTGTTATGCAGAAAATCAGTTGGCCGAAACGCATTTTCTCTTTAGATTCCATCGTAATTTATTAATTGTTTTTAGCGACTCACCGAAAGACCACAATAAAGAATAAACCATAACATCTGAAAACTGTGAATTTTAATATTGCTTAGCATGAAATTCAAGTAGTCCTGACTACTTTTGGTTACAGCTTTCTGAATTTCTCAAATTTCAAATACAGGAAGATGTGAAATTATGACCTTACAGTATATTCTTTTTGCCCTCAATTTTTGGAAATACTGTATTCCGAAGTTCAGATTACCATTTGATTGAATTTAAGCATCTTTTGTCGAAGATTTTTTTTTATTTAGACAATTCCTTTATGTGAGTTACTTTCTCTCTTCAGAATTTTCGTTATGCGAATTTTTTTTCATTATACGGGGTCTCACTGTAATCCTGACAAATTATATGGCTCTTGAGTTTCTAAATTTCACGAATGTTGGAGACAAGAAGATGCGAAACTACGCCATTCTTTTCTCATTTTCATTTTTTTTAAATGCCAAAGTTTACATTGAAGTTTGATGAAATTTCAGCCTTTTTGTGGCCAAAAAATTTCGTTATGTGAGTCAGTCACTTTTCTTCCCCGAAGAATTTGCGGTTTGCAAGTTTTTCATCATGCGGGAACTCAATGTACAGTACTGTATTTTCTGAAACGAAAAATGTTGTGCTATTTCGTGCTACTTTTCCGCTGCACAAAAGCTATTGAACACCCTGTATGAGAAACTGCTGTGCGTATTCTGTTCAACAAGTGGTCGTGAAACGTGTGCTTTATCTTTAAAAAAAAAAGGAGTTATCTGGTTCCACAATGGAGAGCCGTTGATTGCGGGAGAGCAAGTGAAGATATGCTGTTCCCGTTCCGGGGAATCGTCCGAGTTGCATCAGCTGCACATTTTCAACACCGGGGTCCAGGATGCCGGCACCTATTCGATCGTGGCTGTGTGTGCGGAAGGCGATGGCTGGCGAGACGCCCACGTGGTGGTGCGATCCAGTGCGAGGGCGCATCATCCGCCCAAATTCACCTCGGCCCTCCGTGGCACTTTCCGAGCCGAGAAGCGAGAAGTCGTGCTCGAGTGTCAAGTGGATGGGTATCCCGAGCCCGAAGTTGTTTTTCAAAAGTTGGCCGCCAGCACCGGGGACGTGGAGGTTCTCTCTCCCGAAAAGTTTTCCATTGGTTGGTTTGACGCATTTTATTTCTGTATTTATATATTTTTTTCGTTTTTGTTTCTATCAAACTGATGTATAGACGGACTTTTTCCAATTTCAGCTTTTTATCCGGCAACGTTTTGCCCTCCTTTGACATTTCAGTCTTGTTTATTTGATTCATTCAGCATTATTTACCGGAAAATTGCGGAGATCTGAAATTTGTGATTTTCAAGTGCGATCACGGATGTTGGATTGGGGATATGGTCGCGATTTCCAATCATCTGAAAAAATTCTATAGCTTGGGAATTCATGATAGGTGTTAAGTTGACCACTCAAACCTCATGTCCTCACCGTTATTTTAGCGCTTTGAACTCGTAATTTTGACCTGGGTGATTGAAAAGTGGACTGTTCCAATTTTTTTCTCATTTTTTGTTGTTGGAAAATGATCGCTGTAAAAATACGATCGTACGTCGAATAGGACTCCAAGGAGAAAAGCACGGGATGTAAATAAAAAATTTTAAAAAGCGATTTGTTTTTGAGTTAGGTTTTTATTTTTCTTGATTTTTGATTCCGTTTTTATTTTTTCCTGGGCGTATTCCAGTATTCATGTGTTACGATTTTTATTTTGGAAGTTGCCTGTACTCTATCGCCACTATCGGGAATTTCAGTATCGTATTACTGTCGATGTTTAGATGATGATAAATCGAGGAATGCTTCATTTGTTCCACGAATGAATTTTTTTCAGAATCGACTCTTTATGGGGAATGGAGCCTTAGATTCGACGCTGCTTCGAAACTTCCTCCCTGTGGAAAATTTATAGCCGTATGCAAAAACATTTACGGGGAAGCCATTTCCGATACTGTCGTGCAGTTTGACAGTGCGGGTTGGCATCGGAATCCTGTCATCGAAGTGAGCAAATTCCTCTCTTAAATTATCTGCGTCGATATTTCGCTCGATTGACTTGACGTTCGTGACGGAAAACTTTTTTGTTTTTGCTAGGAAATTGAAACGATCGAATTGGAAGTGAGTCCTCAGCTGGTCAGACTTCCCGGCGACGGAGCCGCTTCTCCGGATAACAAACCAGTGGCCCGAAAGCGGAGGAGTCCCAAAAGGACCATTCCTGCAGTTCAGAAAAATGAGGAGATTGTTCGAGAGGATCACGATCCTCTGCTTGCTGGTTCTCCTCCAAAACCAGGTTTGGGAAAACTGTATTGTGTCTGTATAGTTCATTCAACACCCTGAGGAACATTACGTATCTTGGTTTCTTTTGAATCGATTGGAAGATCCCGATTTAGCTAGCGATTTATGCGTCTTTTGGGAATACTTTTGAGGGTATACAGTACTTGATCATCTTTTGAGCATATACAGTACTTGATTATCTTTAAAGCATATACTTGATTATCTTTGAAGCATATACTTGATTATCTTTTGAGTATATACTGTGCGTGATTGCTTGTATTTTTGCATCTTTTGTTTGACGCATGAAACTTTTAATTATGGGTCTTTTCAGCGAAATCTTCAACTAAATTAATTGTTGTGCTGACAATAAGTATTGTGAATTCCGTTACGACGAATCTCATTATGATTTTTCAAATTACTGTACAGTATACCGATTTTTTTCGTGGTCTCACTGGTTTCTCCATAGAAATCTGTTACAAAAATCTCATTTTAACGAACTCTTTCAAGCTGTTATCTGAGTACAGTATAATAAATTGTTGGCCCTGATTCTGTGCATGGGCTATACCGATTACATGATAAATGGCAGAAAAATAAAAAAATTTAACTTTTTGCATTAGAAATCCATCGAAAAGCAAAGTTATCTGTAGAGAAAATTTAGTGTTCCAGAAAATACGCAGCGTACCATTTTTTTTTTAAGTTCTTTAGCTCCATTTGAGAATGTATGTCTTTATCAAAGAAACATTTTGTTGGAATGAATTTTTTTGTATTTCCAAGATAAAACCGGTTTGGAAATTTATTCGATTTTGAACGAAGGGTTCCTTCCGTATGTACTTTTATTTAAAAAAAATTCAACAGCAAATTAGTAGAAAGGCAGGTTCACTATAAGAGAAGTTGATTGTATTAAGAATATTTCCGTTCATTTCATAAGAAATTATGTAAGGTAGAGCATTATCTTTTGTAGAAGTACTTTCTAGTACTGTATTTCTAACCCATTTCACTCAAAAATTGCCGTTTTGAATGTGTTTACGACCACGAGTCGCAGTACTGTGTAACGAATTTTTTTATGAGGTCCGTGCGAGTTCGCTGCAACGAGATTTTAGTGTACCCCAATTCTTACTTCACGTAAAGGCATCAAATTTTGCGAGTTAGTTGAAACAATGTTTTAGTTTACCTCAATTATCAATTTATAAAAATGCATCAAATTAAGTTCAGAAAACGAGTGTATTTCGAAAATGGAGGAAATTGTGAACTTCTGGTGAATGGTTAGAGGTGTCGGGTTCCAAGCTTGGCAGAAATATTTAATCGGACAATTGAACATTCGTAGAATGGAAAACCACGTACCGTATTGACTGAGCATTTTGACAACAACAAAAAAGATTATTTGCGCCAATAAGGAATCGGAGATAACGCGTAATTGTTTGTTGCTAATCGGATTCGCTGTCTGCCTTCTTCCGTGGAAAAAAATAGGCGTTCGAGTGGAGAGAATTGAGATTACGAAGCTGTGCTTTCATTTAGGCGATTTTCCGTGAACGCTCGGATTTTATTTTGAAGGATCAAGTTTTTTTTTCTTCAGGTTTTCAACGTATTTTTCTAATTTGATCTCCAATTTCTTGTTGTTGCTTTGTTTTCAGGAACTATCGCCGCCCGAGAGCACGAGAAATGGTTGCACGCAGCACCGATTCCGAACAATCCGTATTCCTCTGAAAAGCTGACGGAAAGGATGACGAATAAGGACTCTTTTGGGCTACTCGGCTCTGCCGAATCGCTTCTCAAAGTCGACGAAAACTCTGACGGTCCAAGAAAAGTCAATTGCGGTCCGAAAGAAATTGATTCCAGTCGTTACAAACGAGATTATTATGTACCTGGGGAGGAGAGAAGCAAGAGGACTTGGGTTTTGAGTCCCGAGCTTCGAGCTGCCGGAAACCCGGTCACATCCGCTGCCAGCAGCTCTGATGAGCCGGATGTCTCTGTACGATTTCCGTTTTTTTTTTTTTTTTCTTTCGGACAATGCAGAAATGCTAGACCATTGATAGAGTTAACCGGAAAGATGTGCTTCAATTCCACTCGCAATAATTTCTTGAGAAATGAGTAACCTCTTTAAAAAATTTTAAATTCATCCTTTCCGAATTTTTAAATTCATGTTTTTCATATACTGTATTTCCGAAATGGTGAATTCATCCCTTCAATTTTTCCATCATCATTCACAGCAAAAGAGAGCACATTATTGGTCGTCATAGTAATTTCACTACGAACTTCGAACTATTTACTTCATTTCTCAGGCGAAGTCAAGATTTTGAATTCGATTTGACGTTTCAGGATTCTGAAATCATTTTGACACGATTACCGGAGCGTTACATGCAAATAGTTTTAAAATCGGAGTAATTTTACTCGTCCAGATTTTCGTTTTGATCTTGGCATTAACACCTGGAATCATTGGAAAATCGAAGTTTATCTGGGTGGAAAAAGTTTACAATCGAGAAATGTATGCTGTTTAATGAAAATCCAGCTTTTACTTGGCATCAAGTTCAACAAAGAAACTTACTCTTTTTGAAAATAATAAAAGTTAGAATATACAGCGCAAGATGTGCAGGTTGCTAACATGGGTCATTATTTTTCATTCCCTGATGACCTTTTCAAACGCCAAAATTTGATTCACAGTGTATTGAATTTTTTTTCCATTATCCAGGGTGTTGTTGCAGAAAATATTGCCAGACTAACGCTGAAAAGGCGACAGAAAACCCCGCCACCGAGAGCTTCTCCGTTGTTGGAAGAAACCGTGCAGCTTCCATCGGTTCGTGATCTGTCGAGGAAGTTCAGCTTCAAGTAGCTTCGCGTCGAAAAAGAATAAAGGAAAAGGAGCTTGTTTTTTTTTTTTTGAAACCGTGTATTCAAGTTTTGTACAGAAAGTTTTATTCGCCAGCTTGGCCAGATACCGGGGTCTTTCCAAAAATATCGCGAGTCGCATGTAAACCGTAAATGGAGGGCCGACATAATTTGTTTGCCCCCTCATTCTCTTTCTGTAGTTCTGAACTTTTTGAACTCGAGTAAATTTGAGAAAGGAAATGTTGATTGACGACGTAATGGAACGCCCATTTAAGATTTTTTTTTGTGTATGTGTGACCAAACTCATGATAAAACTTTTCAAACCTGATATTTAATCTATTCCCCTCCAATCCTCCGAAATTTCTAACGTAATCCAGTAATTTGAAATTACCAACTCAACTGCGGTCAAATCTAATCTATGAAAGTTCTTTTTTTTTCAGATGCCTTTTGCATTCTGTTGAAGGATAAAATCCCGACAATAAAAGATCAATTTAACAGAGCAAAATGATTTCATATTTTCGCAGATTATGCAAGAGCTTAGTGCGTAAAATGTAATTGAATTTTATTATTTTTTGTGGGAGGTCTTCATTTTTATTCCTTGCCATCTTTGGCTTTTACCACTCGCATTCTGGGAAGCAGGGAACTTGAGTGTCAAAATCTGTGTTAGTGTTCCCCGGTTTCCCCGAAAAAATCTTGATTTAGGAGAGCTGGTGGCGATTTTTCAAAAGATTTTGCATGATGCACAGAAAAGTTACCACGTGGAAGATTTTAAAAATTCAGATGCTGGATAAATGCAAGAATCTAAGCTTTTGTAAGAGTACGTGTGCTTGAACATCGGAAGAGAGTCTTACTGAGCAAGTGAATTCCTGTTCTGAAGCTTCAGTTTTTCCGAGTTTTTTTTATCCACTGCAGTTTGAAGAACCAAGATTGATCAGAAATCAAAAAAGGTGGACATTTGCCTCGAATCGAACTGCTTCCATTGATTGTTGAAAGTGACTCGCGAAGCTTGGAAAGACCCGTGTATTTCTTCTCCTGAGCATATCCTGATCATGAATTCTTAGCTTTATGAGAGTTGTATTTCTGTAAAGGACAGGTTTAAAGTTTGTACCCCGATTGCCACTCGACCGTGTGCCTGAAAAAAATGAAAAAAGCAGTACCACACCAAAAAAAGGGAAAAAATCTGTGTTCTTTCAGCCATGGTTTTTGTTTTTGAAGAAAAAAAGAGAGAAAGGAAACGTCGCCGATGACGCTCAGTGTTTGTGTGAATGTGAAATACTGTATCCCCGCCCAGTTTATTTATTCAGTGGAAGCTCTTTTCAAAGCATGTACATTATTTTTGGTCTGAAAATGCTTCTTGATCTGAAATTCCCGCGAGGAACGTGACTGTTGCCAGGAGTTCACATCCCAAAAATTTCACGAAATCGCGGATTCGATATTTTTTTTATTGCTGTTATATCGTTTTCGGTGAGTTTAAAAGGTTAATCTGCGGTGAGACATCTGCATTCCTAATTATTCAGTTAAAATTGTCGTGGCAAATTCACTGTTCGACACCCGTAGTGAATTCAGAAGCAGTTATTTTTTTTTGGGTGCAGACTGTTGAGTCCTAAGAAAAATTTGCCGGTTGAAAAAAAAAATCGGATGAGGGAAAATGTTGGAAATTATTCGTATTCCCACCGTTAACCAAAAATTCGAGTCTACAGAATGTTGAGTCGAGCTTCCATATCGTCCAGTTATTATGCTTTAAACGGCCTGTTTTTTTGTTTGTTTTTTCGCAAACCAAATGGATGCCAAGGATGCGTATCGTGAAAAATATTTATTATTCCGTCCAAGTTTCATTGTTCGTGAAAATAGTTCTGTTGAAATGCGTGAGTTATTATTGATGCAGCCGAAATGGTAATTAAATGTTGGAACGATGAACGTTGTCTTCAATTACTCTTCGCCGGATTGATAATTCCGAGGACGTACTCTCTTTTGCCACTGAAAACAAGCTTTAAACATTCCATCAGATGTCGCACGTTCAGCTAAGCTTCTTGCATATAGGCTGTCCATGAGTACGACGTGATTGGATTACAGTACTGTACTGAACTGTCAATCATTGCACGAATTGTAATGAAAAATGTATGCGCTGTATGGAAAAATATTGAATAAGTGTAATTAATTGGCTACTTTTATCACGGATCTCGCAGGGAATTCCCCACTGCATTCAATGATTTTACGGGATATGGGTGAACAAAATTGACCTGACTGGCTCGATTTCCGATAGGATACGGTAGTTGCGAAGTTAATTGTTGAAGTACAGGAATCTTAAGAATTTTTCAGATTCTTTTATATTCTTTCAATGAATTCCAATGTAGGGAATATAATACTGTATCTATAATTCTAGGTTATCATGCACAGCCCAGCAGCAAATATAATACTGTAGTAAGATTGACTATACATGTACTCTGAAAATCAAGATATGAATCATGAATGATAAAAGAAAAATTTTCAGTGATGTAGTTGGAAACATCGTAAAAATTCCATGGTAATAATGGCCGCATTGGAAGTGTGAGGTGCTGATTGAAAAATAAATATATGCGCACTGAGCTTGTGAGCTGATTTTGCATCGATTTCGAGCAAGCTCATCTCACGGACTTGCATTTAATCGAGTAAAAATTCAGAATTTCTGATTCAAAGCAAATTGCGATTCCATCCCCAAGCAGTCCTAAAATTTTGGCTTGAATTATGTAAATTGGCTACAAGCAACGCGAGTCCGTATGCTTATCGACATCTACATGGAAGTTTTTGGGCGATTTTTGACGTTCAACTTGCCTAAACGGATTGTATGCATGTCCTCTCCTCTCTGGAGTTTAATATTGTGTATTGACGCTTCCATGCTGCGCGTGTACATCCGAGGTGTCCGGCAGGGATAGTATCATATGCGGATGAAAATGCTGTAGCCTGTCCTGAGGACAGCTTCCACGATTGAACAGAATGTAACTCTAGGAAGCAACTCGGGAGGGCAAAGTGAATTGTTCTGTTTGTCGGGCGTTGGTATTTTTACGGTCGCGGAAACCCACGAAGTTGTGTGTGATCGTGCTAAACGTGGCCTTCGTTGCCATCTGGAGATGCGACGCAGATGAAATTTTGTTTTTCTGTTGGACGGTCCGAAGATTAGGGACAAGTGAGTGACAGAGAAAGAGAGTTGGAGTGAAATTAGTGTGCCACCTATGTTCTTGGAGCCAATCGTATGGTTTCACAATTTTTTGCTATGTGTTGTGTTTGGATTACCGAGCCGTATGTATGGTGACGGACTGTCCGTATTCTTCAGTTCTGTTCAGAAAATGAAGCGAATTTTCAATCGGTTGATGTGATTGTCTTCAATTATTGGCATCCGTGTCGGCGTGCCGTTCGAGACTATGGGCACGGAAACTGAATCAGTCAATGGTTCCAGCAATACCATTGAATCGAAAAATGTAAATCAAACCATCAGTCCTGGGAATTCAACGGTCTCGATCCTGCCATCACAATTCATACAGGTATGGGTTCAGGCTGCCGTTTGCCTATGCATTAAATGCACAAAGCTTTCTCTTGGCAGAGTTCACCGCAGTTCATGACTGCGGGATATGTCCAAGTTGGACAGCAACTCCAGCTGGCCGCCGATCCGAACAATGTCCAACAAGAAACAATTTATATTCCGTCGCTCGGGATGCAAGGACAAGGAGGTATTCAACTTCATGCTGCCACAACTCCGTCAGGACAAACGGTTTACCTTCCTGTGTCAGCCGGTAACGCTGGACAATCAGTTGTAAGAACGTCTCAAGGACAAGTAATTCAATCTCAAGGTTACACTCATGGTACGCCAAAGCCCGACTGCATTATTCAGCACTATTAATTGCTAATTTCCGTGTCTAGATTTGGGAGGCACCCCGGTGCAAACAGTACAAATACCTGCCGCTCAAGCGTCTGCGCTTGGACTCGGTGGCTTGGGTGCCTGTCAATTGATGACTGTACAAATTCCTCTTCAAGGACCAGGTGGACAAACTGTCTACCAGACAGTTCAGGTTCCAGTCCAAGTACCTCAGCCACAACCCGCGACCACAACCACCATCATTCAGACTTCATCAGGACCTGTTCTTGCCCAACTCATTCCGTCTCAACCGCAGCAAATACCTCAAGTTGCCCAAATGATCACACAAGGCGGCCAGATACAGCTGGTAAATACTCATGGCTAACTTTGATAGCTCCTAGTCTAATGTGTTTGTTTTTCATGAATGTATACGTGGTTCCGTATGCATTCATATGACCCTGAATAGGTCATAATCTTGACTCTTTACCTCAATAAGACTCAGAAAGTTGTTTGAACTTCGTTAAATGATGCAACAAATGTATTTTTTATTGTATCTGCGGCTTGATTTTTATGGCACGAAATTGTTTGTGTTCTTCTATTGCTTGACCAATCTCGATTTCTTTTTCGAGTACGCCTCAGCCGTCGAAGAAATGTGTCTGACCATTGTTTTGAACTAGAAAAAATGTTGAATTATAATTTTTTTACATTATTTTCAGAGGATTACCGTATTTATGCGAATACAAGCACTCCTCGTATCTTCATTCACCAAATTAAACTTTTATCAATAGGCGAATATAAGTACCCACTTACTCTCCTGGTGTTTTGACTTTCCAAGAACGTGAAATTTCTGAATACCATAAATTGAAGTTTTCCTCAGAAAAGGAGAACCGTTGGAGAAACACAACCCTTGCGATTATCAATGATTCACGCATCGTGGGCTAAATGCGAACAATTCCTTGAGTATTTTAAACTTCGATTCCAAAATAACAGAAGAAAATAAGTGTTCGATCGTTTTGTGGGCCATACACAAAAATATTTCCTGATATGGACGCGTATGTACGCGAATTGTATAAAATAGAAGCACCCCCTTTGGTTTTGATCTTCGAAAATTTGAAACAAGGGGTGCTTATAATAGTGTAGATACGGTAGTTCTTTGTTAAAAGGTTTCCATCAGTGAATCTCGTGTGAAAATTTTCCGGATGATGGCGTGGAGAACTCTTCCGAACATGTGGAAAAAAGTGGTTCATAATTTCATTTGAACGTTTTTTACTTTTATGATCAGCAAGGAGCTGCGACTGCAACATGGTCTCATCCTATGGTCGCCCAGGCAATGGCCACACAAACGCAGATTGCCTCCAATATTTCACAAGAACAGAATGATCGGGTGGCGAAGTCCTCTCCGAATCGGGCGTCGACTTCAACTCCGACCGCCACGACCTCAACGTCCACATCCACCGCATCTCCTGAAGTAAAAGAAAGCGGAACGTCGACCATGGACACCGATGACAATTCCAACAAAGTCGAAGACATGAAACCCGCTGGCCTTGTTGTGAACATGGCGCAGGAACCTGCGATTCAACTTATACAGCAAGGTATCATTTTATTCCGATTCCTGTAAGAAACGTGATCTCATGTGAATGTTGACAGTGTAACGATTTTTTGCATTTTTTTGCGTGTCTGTGAAATTAATTCGGAATGATTTCTCTCAGGTCAGCAATTCGGCCTCATAATGAATGCACAAAATACACTTCTGCAGCCCCGGACAAATAACTATGTACAGGTGAGGATCTATCTTAAAGTTTATCCATTCTTGATGATGATGAAAGGTTTTCTTAGATACCCGGAGTTGGATTGGCTAACATTGGAAATGCGATTCCGGTCCATAATCTTTCCGGACTTGGTGGAATGCAAATGGTGCCGATTTCCAACCAGGGTCAAGCTCATATAATGCAACCTGCTCCTCAGCAGATCAGTAAGTTTCTGAAAGACATAGTTTTTTTTTTTTCATAATGCTAACGTTTTCGTTACTCTTGTCCGCGTATGATTTCTACAATTTTCGGGTTGAATTCACGAACAGACAAGTCAAGTTGTAGCTTCAAACCCAATTGTGACTATCATTATAGCTGGCGAAAGTAGAAATATTTATCGTAACGATGAAAATTGTAACGCTGACCGGGGATTTTTTGAATATTCTGCGTAAACGTATTGAACACGAAGGAGGGATTTGTCTAGGATTAAAATTTTATACTGTAATGTCATTTCTAAGCGGCACTTGCGTTGAACATATGTAATATGATTTGCCTACACTGTTGAACCTTGATGAGCTGCCACCATTTGTTTGTATGGGTGGGTTCTTGCATTTTTAATGGGTTTCGTGAGTTAACAAAAAATGTAAAATAATATGATAATTGAGTAGGGTATTAAACAAAATACTTTTTCTTCTAAAGAAAACAATCAAAATAACCCTGGGGTGTGTAAATTAACTGTATCTAGCTAATTTTCTTATGAAGTATAATGAATTATTTCGTCTTTGTGTTTGTGTGATTTTTTTAATTGGAGACCTCTTGCAGAAATTTTTATTGGCGGGCCATCGAAGACAAAAGTACAGTAATTGGCATGAGCATATTTGAGCTGTCAATAATTTTGGGCGAATGGCGTTTTAACGGGACTTCCAATGCTTTTCTCATCTGGGAAGATTTTTTTTTAATGAATCGGCGGCGGCTAAACGGGGTATTTCGAAAAGAGGTCGCGAAAAAACCATTTTTATAGACTTGTCGCAAATAATTCCTTGTTAAGGTAATTCCGCGAATTACCTTTAATTCGCGTATTTTGCTTATTTTTTGTGTCTAATTTTTTCACACTTCTCTTCAAAACAACAGTTCAGCAGGATCCGAATGATCCATCGAAGTGGGTGATAACTAACGTCGCCATGAGCACGGGCGTCGCCATGCAAGACACGTCGGACTTGTACAGAAACTTCAATCCGACCCCGACGCCCCAAACTGTTTTGCCCGCCGCTACAGTTTCCGTACCTGCTTCAGCCCCGGCTGCTACGATAACAACAACGAAAACAAACAATTCGTCCAACAACAGCTCCAACAGCAGTGGCGGCAAAGCCCGTTTGCGACGGATGGCCTGCACGTGTCCCAATTGCAAGGACGGCGAGAATCGGTACGAGAAGCTGTCCGAGTCTGGGGTACGGAGGAAGATGCACTTGTGTCACATCCCCGGTTGCGGGAAGTTGTATGGGAAGACGTCGCATTTGCGTGCCCATTTGAGGTGGCATTCCGGCGAAAGGCCGTTTGTGTGTAACTGGATGTTTTGTGGGAAGCGGTTTACGCGGAGTGACGAGCTGCAGAGACACAAAAGAACGCATACCGGCGAGAAAAGGTGAGGTTTTTTACTTTTCCGTGTTCTTTATTGTTTTGGCGAATGCAAGTCGCATTCGCCAAAAACCAGAAACCGAATGCAATTCGCATTCGGTTTCTGAAAAATCAGAAACCGTTTGTTCGAATTTTCGTTGGGATGAATATCAGGACTGTTACGTTTATCCTACGTTTAAGATTATGTAGGAAGAGTCTCCGGTGCGTAATTTCACTGAGACGTGGAGCAGTTTTAAGAGTCATATGAAGAAATCGCACAGTTCAATGTTTTTTTGTTCAAGTGGGACACACATTTTGTAAGTTGTTGAATGAGAATTTATGTGATTATTGGGCTGTATTTTCGGGGAAATATAATCATATTCTTTAATTATAGAATCTCGTTACAACGCATGATGAAAGCTGAGGAAGACGCATGATGACCTTGATGAAAGCTTCGTTATAAATAAAAATTCGTTAAAACGAAATTACGCTAATATTGTGGCTGTAAGACGAGAACTGGGTAAACGAATTCCTCGTAAGCATTAATTCATTATAACGAGATCCTGCTGTTCATTATAACAAATATAAAACTACCCTAAAGAAATGACAGGAAATGGGTGAGTTTATGGTGAAACTTATTCGACTGCAAGGAAAAGCACGAAAACAGATGTTCCTCATTTCCTTCCTTCCATTTCTTTTTTAGTTTTTCTTGCAGGTGTCTCATGAATCGCAGGAACACCACTGAAGTAACTTGACCAAATATTAACAAGACAACCTTAACTCGAATCAATTTAGTTTCACATAACTTCGATTCTTAACAGAAGAATAAAAAAAAAAACGATTGAATCGAACGTAAAAGAGAAATGACCGCAGGATTATTCATACGATTGTGCTAGGAAACAGACATTAACCCACCAGTGACGTACATTTTGTAATTTTCCCCCTCTGTAGAAATTTTAAATATAATTCTATTTTGTTAACGAAGAAAAATTCCTTAGTGAACAAACAATTTTTGGCCAAATTTTGGTGTACAGTATTAAGCAACGGTATTTTGCCAGTGAACAAAAGTCTGTCAAAAATTTTTCTTTTACGTATTCGTATTATGTAGTAAATACTGTACAGTAACTGTTATTTAATGTGAAGGAAAAAGTCTTATTTGGCTGGAGAAAATTAACCCGTACTCCACACCCACCTGTGCATCTATGATTAATTTTGCTCCCGAAATTCCAGTTCGCAGCTCAGATGATCATTCTTATTGAAATCATGCGCGGAGCAATTAATTTGCTTGCATTATTCTTATTAATGAATCCCACTGATTTCTTGATTCCCTCCTTTTTTCAGATTCCAGTGCACGCAGTGTTCGAAGCGGTTCATGCGATCGGATCATTTGTCGAAGCACATCCGAACGCATTCAATTCGCGGTGCGAATGCGAGTTCAACAACGAACGGGAACGAAGGCAATCCCATGTCCCCGAGTTCGGGCAGTGAGCTGGAAGCCGAATCTCCGCCGGCGTCCCCGCCCTCGGGCATGAATGCCTCCAGTGACGGTTCTCTTCTCTCCCCGGCCACAGATAATGTGAGTTGACGACAATGACGATCGGAGGGGAAGATATTTCAATCGGCCAAAAGAAAAACGCTTCAAAATTCCTTGCCGGAATTAAAATCATTGAATTCGAGGACTTCTGCGAAATTCCGTATCCGAATAGTGTAAACCCGAGAATTTCAATTTTTAAGGTTTATGCGCCTTTTTTGTTGCGTGAGTTGCATCATCTAACGTTTGACAGTACTATATTTTTTATGGGAGCAATGCTTTCGAATTATTAACCATTACAGTTCTGTACTTATGAACATTCAAAACAAAAATTTCCGCATCGAAAAATCTCCGGACGCTCCAGTATGGTAATTTTGAAGCGTTTTTGTAAATTTAAATGTTTCCTAATGCCTTTCCGCTTTAAAAGTTTTCGTTCGCAATTAAAATGATTATTTTCTGCGAGTAAACTGAAGAATACAGGAAGATAGGAAAATTTTGAAACTTCTCGAGACAGTCCTTGACTCTCCGCACAGACGATAAGATGTTTAAAAAATTTCAGATCCCGAATCAGAAATTTTCGGACTAATTTTTCACTGATTTAGTGTGTTCGCACTTGCTCAAATGAAAAAAAACTGCTTCAACAGTTTTGTAATATCCGGCAAGATTTTTCGTTTATTAATTGTCAACGAGTGCAATTTTTTTCTCGTTCGATTACGAGAAGAACTGAAGAAAACACGGGGTGATCAATTCAATTTCGATATTTTCTCTCTGGAATGGTTGTGACCTGGATTATTCAGCTAACCGAATACAATAAAATTTATTTACAACGAATGAACGAAGCCCTTGAGGCCTGAAAAAAACCTTTATAACGAAAAGTATTAGTCTGAAGTAATGGAGGGGCCTCAAGAATGATTTCGTTCAAACGGAATTAGGACTTTCGAAACTGAAAACGCCTCAGCGGAGAAAATGAAATCCCGGCATCGGGCATGGGTTCGCATTCACCAAAATGATCCGAAACTCACTATTTTGTGTTTCTTGAATCGCACAGAGTCAGTTCGGTGGCCGGAGCGACCGGAGCGAAGGAAGCCTCATGATCATCGACACGTTCGGTGTCACTTCTCCGGGTGGCTCGGACTCGTCGGGTCGCGAAACCCCTCCCGAAATTGGCATCGACACCCGATCCAAGGGCGAGCTGGACAACAGCACGGACCTGGACGCCGGGGACGAAGACCACAAACTGTACATTGCCATCAAGTCCGAAGCGGATCAGTCTGACGTGAGCTCCACAGCCGTCGCCGATGAAGGTATGATCGTCTGAGTTGTTGTTTACGGGGCGAGGAAAGTTCTGATGACGGAGTTGAGGATTATTATTATGTATTTTCTAATTGTATTGTATTGTATTGAGAAAAAATTCTCCCCCTCCATCGTGTGATTTTTTTACCGCTCGAATTTCGGAGTATTAGTGGCTTGCAGAATTTATAAGCCGCGCCATAACGTGGGAGATGGTACCCAAGTGTTCGTTGTCACGAGGAATTGTCGCTTGAAACGATAATAAGTTCAATATTTTAGAAGACAGCTGCGTTAAATTGGTACAAGTGAAGGATCATGGGCAGCTAAAAATTATCCCAACTCTTGCGAAACTAACTGAAAAAAAGGAAAACTGTCTGACGAGGAGCTGTTAACTAATCTGTGAAAGAACGAGAAAAAGCTAACTAAGAAACGCCGGAAGGAGTCCTTCTCTGCAGGCTGTGTCTTGAATGGTGAAGATCGATTGACGTCTATAAATCAATTGAGTGATTGTGGTCATATGAGGAACCCAGAGCCAGCTTGAATAAATACCTTCTTTCACGGAATAAACGACGGAGCAGCCTTTAGATATTTATTTTCACGCTGATGTTTATGATCTAGGCGAATGAAGAGATTTCATTTAGATTCTACGAAATCAAATAAAATTATTATGCAATTTGAGAAATTTTGAACCTTGAAGCTAACGTCGATTCGGGTAAAGGAAATTTCTTCAATCAATGTAAAAAGCAAAGCGTCGTTTTGTGAGAATCTACGTCTAAGCTCGAAACAAATGAGAAATTGATCGAAGTTAGTCTTGACGCTTTGGGCCTTTCTTAATTCAACTTGTCAGTCCTTAAGAATGCGTTGGGGTGACATCTACCTCGACGATACATTTTCACAACGTTAAGCAGAACAAAATCATCTGGATGACAGGGCATCATTTTAAATTTCTCTTCCGAAGGTTGCTGCGAAAATTGATTTTCAATTCCAGTATATCCTGGCAGTATTGCATCATTTTTTTTTTACTGGATCAGACGTGGTTCCCTCAAATTCGATCCTGGTTAGTGACTGACAATTGTTTTACTGCTTCGAATCACGCTATTTATCCCAGTAAGCTAAGCAATACTGTAATGAATCTTTCGATAATGGCGTGTAATGGCAGTCGTGCATTGAATGCTTTTTCGCGTGTTTGATGCCTCAAATGCGAAAAAAAGTCTTGTATGAGGCATTCACAGTTCAGTTTGACCCGGTTTTTTTTTCCTTCCTTGTTTGAAATCTCACCACCAACTCCGTCATCCGAATTCACTCGAGAACCGTCTCCAATTTGTTGATCTCTCATGACATTGTTTGCCTCTTGTTAACGCTGCTCGGATCGGTCCTACAGACCTGGAACTCGGGTCGTTCGATTTGTTGATCGGTTGACACAATTCGTCGCTGGATGTTTTTACTGATGTATTAGTTTCATATAATTGTTTATCGAGAACATTTTTGGATGGATATGTGGGTTTCATTGGTTAGTAGTGTTTCTCGTCTATATTCTCGCCTTTCGATGAAACCAAAGCCGCCTTGCTAAAAAGAAAAAGAAAAAAAACATCTTACGCGTGGACATTTCGAAGGGTTACAAAGAAAAAGCTCATGCGGATTTTTTTTTTTTACGAATTGGATTGAGCGTCACGGTTTTCACGTATTAACTGGAAGAATACGAAGTGCTTATTTTGTCGATCTGGAAGCCTGGTTTATTTATTGCGCGTTCGTTGTTGCGTTTTTTTGGTAACTTTAACGTCTTTTTGTACCGGACACAGAGAGGACAGGTTAACGACTGCGTCACTTGTTTGTACTTCGTCGGGATTTCGTTCCGGAAGCGCTGTGCGAGAGACGCCGGAAGAGAGCGAGGGAAGAGCCCGTCCTGTTGTTGTTTGGTGGTGTTGGTGCCGGAACCAGGGCCAGTTCTGCCAACGCTGGGTCGTGTGTCAGCTCTGGAAGTGGGAAATTGGAGTTGTGTTAAGAGACAGTCGAGCCCTAGTTTAGTGCCGTCATTTTTAATGACATATTTCATGGGACAGTTGAACCTCCTTGAAGTCGAATTTTTCTCAAGTCACTGTCTGAATCCCCAGAGAAACCATGAATTTTTCCCGGATCCCTTGAAATTTCGTTGAGGTATCAGCAAGTACAGTATATTATTTATTCAGTATCACAAGCCACACTTCGCATTTTCCCGTGGGAAACTGCGTATAGATACAGTATTGAGACACAGAAGTAGGCCAATGAAGATGATCATTTCTTCGTGAGGCATCCGATCCTCCATTTCGTGATGGCCCACACTAAACTTCTCGACCTTTCATGGATCCAATGCGAGAAGTTTCAGGTTTTTCGGAAGTGAGAGCGTAATTTATTTGTTGGTAACTCTGAATCTTTTTTAGGATCAACTATTTGCTCCGAATTTCGTTTCGAACGGGTTGTTGGAAACATCTGTCCTAACTCCTATGACGATAAATTCTTCTCGAGTCTAGGTGCGAATCAACTGAAGATTATCCGTTGAGAAAAAACGGGACTCACCGTCTTCTGTGAAGTTGAATAACTTCGGAAGAGTCATTCCACTGGGCAACCTTGTTTCGGGCAGACGAAGTTCAGCGAAGAAGGAGTGACCCAGGGTCGCCGAAGCAGTCAGACGATGCGGCGGAGTGTAGCGCAAGATCTGGTTGACCACCTCCAAGCCTTCCCGCGGCGGCGGTGTTCGTGCGTGGCGGAACACCTGAGGGAAAAGAAAGGGGCGTGCTTAGTAGAGATGCCGTTTCATATCTCTTTTTTATTTTTCTTTATGAGTTATAACGTGGACGATGCGTTAATTGGGCGTGAAGGATTTAACTGCGTTTAATTTACGTTGCTTTTACAGGATGTGTCTGAATTCTGCGCACAATCCTGATACAAAAAAAAAAAAAAAGAATATTGAATTCGATTTACAAGTGGACTTCAATTTGGATTTTTTCCACACAGTTTCTCAAGCGGAAATTTCAGTGACCGAAAATGAAGTTGCGCGTTTTATTCGGGATTATAATTTTTTACGAAATTTTAGCTAAAAATCCAAGGTGCGCGTCTTCTGTGAGGATGCGTGGTACAGTACTTGAGTAAATACGGTAAAGTAAAATCTCGTTACAACAACATATGTGGATTTAGTCCACATTGTTGGTCCATGGGGACCAGCAGAAGAGCTTATTTATAATGAAAATTTCGTTATAACATGGCAGCTATCGGACAGGGACCTAGAAATTATCATCGTATTGACGCTTGTTGTAACGAGATTCTACTGAACAGTATTCCAAATTGATTACACTTCACCTGGCGTAAATGTAAATCACAGGAAAATGAAGAAAAATTGCACCAACTTGTATTTGTGCTTCTAAAATGAGTGGACACAATGTTGAACTTGGAGGTGTTAATTTGACAAATTAGTCTTTTGTTTCCATTCAAAACACACCAATTCAAAATAGCCAGGAGGACAGCAGAAAATTTTAGTTTTGCAGGTTGGAGGGGGAAACCCTTTGAGCTAGGGAGGTTTTCCATGCATTGTTTTTTAAGTAATTCAGACAGGGACTAAAAAAAGTAATTGAAAAAGCTATGTTTGAGTTTTCTGGAGGTTAAAACTACAGTGAGACCCCAAGATGCAGACGTAATTGGTGCATCAAGAGTGTCCCTAAGTAAAGTCTCATTTTCCCTTAGACTTACATTATGTAATTTTAATTTGTGTTTTATGTACAAAATACTCACCATAATTCCATGAAAATAAAAATTGTCTCCCAATTTAAACTGATTCAATCATTATATTTCAACACAATATATAGAAGTATTTCTATTCAATATCCCCACGCGCCATGAAAATTAAATCCAGGTTTGCAAAAATTGTCTCCCAATTTAAACTGATTCAATCATTATATTTCAACACAATATGTACATTGGGGGAATGGAATACTGATACCTCTGTACAGCACATAGAAATGATGGCATTCTCTGTAAAAAAAAACATTCGAAGTGAAAAAGAGAGAAGAAAGTCTCTCTATGCTGGAGAGAATTTTTTTAGATTTGCTAAATGGATGGTAAATTAGTGAGGGAAATGCCAAAAAATTTTCTTACATCAATTAAAGGGTTGGAAATATCTGAGTCTTGTAATTTGGCCTGAAATTTATTTGCAATTTCATCATGAAGTGTCCATGTGTTGAGTAGGTGTCCTTATTTTGGGCCTTTTTTATTAATTTTTTATGAGAAAATAAGTGTCCCTGTGTTGAATTGTCTGCAGGTCAAGGTGTCTGCATGTAGGGGTCTCCCTGTATATTTGAAGATCTTCACTTCAAGGTTTAGTATTTGTGATCAATCATACTTTCAGCACTCTTATAAATAAGTCCTGTTAAAAACGGGTAATTTCCTTGTGCAACTATATATTTGCACCATTATTGGTACACTTGAACCACACCAGTTGAAATAAGCCATGGTTTGTACCATCCCTCTGCTTCACTATGATGGACCATTATTTCTATCAAGCCGCCTTAGCTTTATGAATAAATTATTTTCTTCAGGACTCACCTTTGTCCATGAAACGCGTTCCATTTTGGGAAGCCGGAAAGGCGGCTCGTAAACCTTCATCTCTCGCATTTGTTCCTTGTTTGGCGTGCCAAGAACCTTGATGATCTCCACCATCTGGTCCTCGCGGGAAGAACCCCGGAAGATTGGCTCGCCAAGGAACATCTCCGCCACCACGCATCCTGCGCTCCACATATCTGCCCATGAAGAACAAAAACAAAAAAACCCCCCAAGGTGAGGATTTTCTTGAATGCAGAAAAGATTGTTGAAAATTCCGAAGATTTTATTTTCTATTTGACGAAAGTGTCGAAATTTCTTTGGCCCGCGTGGAAGTCCAAATTTCTTTTGAATCCTGTTCCATATCTTTTCTTCGTTCAATTAATGCTGCTTTGGATATGGGGCAAAAAAGCTTGCACTTGACACTCCTCGCTTAAGTAGGGAGAAAAATTACTGTACTTTGAAAAGCATTTTTCACCAAATCTTCAAGCAAAAAAGCTGATCTTGTTGCAGAAAATAAAATAATTGGGCGGGATTTAAAAAAAAAAGGTGCAAATTTTCACGTTCTCCTAAAATAAAGTTGTAATCATTCAAATCTGATCGGGAAATTGCGATGTTGAATCTTTTTCCAAATGACGTTGAATTTAATTTTCCAATGTTCCGCGGACATTTTTTTATTGTGAATTCCGAAAATGATTCGATTTCAATTTTTGCAAACCTGGATTTAATTTTCATGGCGCGTGGGGATATTGAATAGAAATACTTCTAAAATGGTGAATGTTATACTTCTAATAATGCATTTATTATGACACCATCTGGAAAATGTCGATCGTTTTGATTTTTGCAAAAATTCAATTCTAATTTTTGAAGGTTTCTGCGAATATTGCTTGGATTGTCACGCTTTCAAAAGGGTGCATTTACTGGAATTTTACTACTGCTTTCTAATTTTGTAGAATTAATCCCGTTTTCAACATTCTTGTGGACTTGGATTAGGTTAGAGGGTTTATACAATTGTGCCTATGCCATGTTTTTGGCTTGAATATTGCGACCTTTTGAATTCTGATCACAAAAATGTCGATTATGAGATTCAAAAACTTGACATAAATGATAGATTGAATTATTCAAATAATTTAAAAACGATTACGTCATCATTGAATTACATTTTGAGACTTTTTTCTGCATTACCTATTGATCTTGAATGGATTGATTAGTTTTTCAATTGTGCTTTTTTTAAGATTTTTGTGTACAGGCGTGCATGCCCTCTTCCATGTGTGATCTCAAAGAAAATTTCAAATCTTAAATTTTTCCACTGCCCAGGTGTGGCTGGGCACCCTCAGCTAGTATTGAAAGAATTTTTATTATCGAGTTATTAAAAATTATGCGACCATTTTTTTACAATTTTAAATTTTTCAAAGATTGAATTCCGTTTTTTAAGGTTCTTTCGGATGATGAATAGATTATCGGATCTAAAAATTATGCGACGACTTTCGCGCGATTTTTAATTTTTGCAAAAATTGAATTCAATTTTTCAAGCTTCCTGTGAATGATGAAGAGATTTACCGATGGAGACGCCGTATTGAGTGGCGCCCATGCAGAGTTCTGGAGGGCGGTAGTATCTGGAGCAGATGTAGGAGATGGAGGTTTCGCTTTCGTTCAAGTGCTTGGCGCATCCGAAATCGCAGACCTTGAGCACGCACGTCTGAAGATCCAGCAGCAAATTGTGCGGCTTGATGTCCCTGTGTCCGATGTTTTGATAATGCAGATAATACAGCCCGCGAAACATCTGGTACATGAAGCACTGCAAACACCGAAATAACGCGATGAAGTTTTTACAATTGACCTTGACAAAAACTCAAACCTCCCTGCGAATAAATTTTTTAAAGTCCCTGTCTGAATTCCCTTTGACTGTCCTACAATTCAGAGGCGCCATCCTATGTAATATTGAATAATCAGATGCATCGGAATATGATATGGGATGGTTCTTAATTTTGGTTGTGGTAAAATGATATCTTTTTTGTTAGTTACAGTAATTTGACTGCAGTAATTTGTTCACTGACTAAATTTGAGAATCACAATTTATTCTGCTTGGATTGAGCCTGCGCCACATGTACTACATGCCATCCAATGTAATACTGTATTTAAAAATTAGATGCATCAGAATATAATATGGGGTGGTTCTTGATTTTTGTTGTGGTGAAATTTGAATTCTTTTATGTCAGTTGAAGTAACTTGACTATTTTGTTCATTGACTAAAATTTAAAATCATAATTAATGCTGCATGACATGAGTTTCATGCGCCACATTCTAAAAGATTGGTCATCTTTCCTTTTTTCATTAATCCATAATCCTTGAATTTATGGAAACAAATCCTTTTTTCTTTCTTCCTTCACTCAAATTTCATGTGCATCTATATTTTTCAAAGTTGAGGAAAAAAAGAAAAGTGCATATCTTAGGCTGGTGGAAAATGTATCAAAATTCAGAGTCGTAGGTACGCATCACTCTTCATTAAATTGGACAATTTTTAACCCGTTTTAGCTTTTTTTCATTTGAAAAAAAAAATAAGGTGATCAAATTACAGGCAAAATTGAAACGTTGATGTTTTAGTTTCGAAAACTTTTTTAGACACTAAAATGGAATGCGTGTTATATACTCAGTGATGAGTTTTTGTCCTAATTTGAGGCTGACAACTCCAGGTGTTTTGTCTTATTCAAGGGCATGTTAATATAGTGCGAATCGTGTAAATTCATTTGTCAAACATGGAGGAACCATGTGAACTCGTCAATATTTAAATCTCGTGTGGTCCAAGTGAAATTGTTTACTATTTACTAGCAATGTTCAACCATGTACGAAAAGGAACTTGAAGTCAAGTTTCAGAAAGAAAAAAAATTATAGGTTCTGGTTTCACCTTCACTTGAACCATGGGAATAGCGGTCCTCTTCTCCCGGTGCTGCTTCAGAAGTCTTGTAAGGTTCGAGTTGAAGAACTCCATGACCAGATGAAGATAATCAGATCCTGGCTGCAACATGATTGTTTTCTGTGACATTGTTTGTGCTGAAATTTCACGTTAATGTCACTCTCACCTCCTCTCCCTTGGTGTAGAAATAGTAATAGAGGGTTACTATGTTTGGGTGGTCCAGCTCCTTGAGTATTGTCAGCTCTCGGTTCTGCAGAAAAAAGTCGGTTTGAATTGCACTAAATCAAATGTTTCTTTCTATTACCAAAATAATTGTTTGGGCCCACAGACTGGGAAATTTCCAAAAAAAATTTTTTATGCGGACTGGCATATTTTCAGATTTTTGCAGACTTCAGTTTGAAATACATGTTCTTAATGGCAGTTACTTAATTTTATTTTTTCCAAAAATCAAATTCAAAACCAATGAAGCAGCTACTGGGGAATGTCTCAAAACATTAGTGAGGTGAGCTTCAAGAAAGGTTTCTCAGAATGTAAATTTAAAATAATTTTTTTCTGAAGGTGAGAGTTTGTCAGAAGCTTAATTAGGAAAAAAGCCAACTTATGTATTTTATCATATGTTTCAACTGATGTTGTCTTTCCAAAATTTTGATAAATTTATTATGCTGCAGAAAATTTCCCACATACAGTACTTGCAATAATCTTCTGTGGACCAGCACTGGTCCATTGACCCCAGGTTGGGGAACACTGCTTTATATGACCAAGAAAAGTTGTTCTTTGTGCAAATGTGATTTACAGTACATGAAGAATGAAACATGCAACAAATGTAGTGATTGAAAAAAGTTGTTTTAGTGTTTAAGGTATAACAGTGTACTGACAGAAATTCTGAACTACTGTACTGTATTTACTCAAGTACCATGCGCATCTTTTTTCTGTAATATCAAAACAAAGTGGGGTGCTTATGGCATGTGGATTTAAATTTTTGGGAGAAAAAAAGTAAGATTGGTGATGGGAGCCATAAGTGAATACTCATTTGTAGGTGTGAACAATGGACAGGGAATTGGGTTAGGCTCAAATTCACTTAAAATGATCAATTTCTGACAAATGTAAGAAGTTGCATCATTTTAAGTGAATTTCTCTTATAATATTACTGTACAGCACTTCAGACAAATTTTTGCCTGATTTAATAAGTTATTTTAATTTTTGAGTCTGAAAAACATTTCTGCCTGTCCACATTTGTGGACATGCAACTTCCCATATTCAGGGGAATATTTTATTAAACTTGAAAATTTTAAAATTACAAATTTCTCTTTTCAGCCATGTAAAACTGGGGTGCGTGTCTTATGCAGGAATGTATTTTTTGCAAATTTCATGCAAAAAAAATGACTTGCGCGTGGTATAGTAAATACAGTATTCCTCCTTTATTCCCAGAAGAGTGTGACGGAGGAGAGGAGACTCGCAGCAGACTCACCCGATAATTGGCATGTTGCAGCACCTTCTTGATGGCCACCTTCTTGCCATTGAGCAAGAAGGCCCTGTAGATGGTGCCAAAGGTGCCATAGTCCACGCGGTGTATGTCGGTGAGCATGAGCTCCCGGGGCCCAGTGGTAACGCGGCCATCAGACACGCCAACCCCAGGTTGTGCCAACACTGTCAGCGACCCGCTGGATACCTTTCCGAAAAAGGCAGAAAACAGGTCACTGGCCAAACGCAATTTGGCATTGCCCTTTTGGCCACGTTGATTGAACGTCCACTCGCCATCCCTTATATTTTTATTTTTTTGTGTTCCACTGTTCGAATGTGAGTTTCATATATGCTTTAGCGTATTTTCGCGAATGTATGTGCTTGTGGAATTCCATATTGATTCCGAAACGAAATTTCCTTCTTCAGACTCAAATATCATAAAGAACGAGTTATTGTCTGGCGAACTATGATCGCCTTCCATCGTTGGAAATGATTTTTCGACTGCTGCAGTTCTTCAAAAATTTTTTTTTTGGAAGTCTCATCAGTTATAGGGTACAATAGCCGAGTAAATTTTCTTCGAAAAAGAGGTATTTTCTCAGAAAGTTAAGTGCGTATCATTAGAAGTCCAATTGTATTTCAAAATTCTGGAGATCCTCTTGCTTATTGAATCATACCCCAGAATAAAAAAAATTAACAAAAGCATATAGGAATTCATCTTCCTCTTCATTTACTTCACATTAAGAATTTCAGCTTCCGTAATTCTTAAATGTAAAAATTCTTTCACTGATGAAAACTGAGGTATTTTGCGGGGATTATACTTTTCACCGAAATTCGCAGCTAAAAAATCAAGCTGTGCGTCTTTTTTGAGTTCTCGTAAATTTAATAACAGTACTGATGTAAAATAAGTTTGTATCCGTGTTTAAATTTTTTGTTTTTGGATTCAAATGTATATACTACTGGACACACTTGCTTCACAATATTGTATGCCTCGCAGAAAATCCTTGGCGAATTTTAGACCAAAAAGAGTCATTGTAATGACTAAATACAAAAATTATTGTTAAATTTTACTGTTACCTCCATCAGAATCATTCTTGTACTGTAAATATGACTCCATTCAACTTTGAAAAATGATTTACAGTTGAGTTACCTGTACTGTATTCAAATCCGAACATGTTCTCAATGACGAGAATATTTCCAGTGAGTTGATAAAATACCTGTATTTACTCAAGTACCACGCGCACCTTTTTTTCCCAAATTTCAGAAGAGAAAAAGGGGTGCGCGTCATAAGTGGGTACAAAAATTTCAAGAAGTTTTAGGAAGTCATGTGGGCATTATACTTGATTATAATGGAGAAATTTGGAGAAAATGTAACAAGAAAACATTTTTGTACTGAAAAAGTTTAAAATTGATGAGATTTTTGTTCAATTCATGCCTAGTCAATTTTTTTTTTGCTTTTATTTGCAAAATTTTGTGGCTTCAGATTCACTAAAAATTGGGGTGCGCGTCTTACTTGGGGATGAGATTTTAGCAAAATTTCCAACTAAAAAACCCCTCTGCGTGCCTTACTTGAGGGCGTGTGGTACTTGAGTAAATGGGGTATTTACATTAGCTGCAATTTTTACCTCTTCAAACCATCCCCAATACATAAGCGTGTGAATCTCAAAGGTTGTTGATTGTGAAGAAGGAAAATTTGTTCCAACAATTGAAAAGAACGCATGAACCTAAAATAAAAAAATTATGCTAAAGCATGCCGTTTTCCAGGACAGAAGAAAGAAAAGAAAAACAGTGGCAATGTGTGGATTGGGAATTCACGCGTGGACGTTCAAGTGGAGTGACATCTGGTGCCGAGCGTGGCACCTCTGCTCCCCGTCTCCGGCGACTCTTGAGGTGCTTCAGATACTTCCACATCTGAAGCCCTTCCAACAATGGTTCCACCAGCATTTCCTCATTTTGAATAAGCTTTCGTTTCACAGTTGCTCATTGACGTCAGTGCGGCTTTCGAAAGGTTATCCTCTAACACGGACCTTTAACTCATATAATCCCGAATGCGCATATTTAAACTGGTATTTATTATTATTTGTCATATATATATGTTCTTGAGATTCCAACGGCTTTTTCAACCGGTTCAACAATGAAGTAATCTAGAAGGTTTCTGGAGAAGTACGGAATAAGCAGAATAAGATTATAATTGGTACACAAAATTTGAAATATAAAATGGTAAGAATGGACTGCACTTCCTATAATATGTCCAGGAATAATTCAAGGGAAAGCTAGCTGTTGGAAACAGCTCCAAGCACTGAAGAGAGGAAAAATTCATGTAAAATAAATATAATTGTACTGTATGAAAATAACTGAAATTTGAAAAATGATGTCCACGTCCATCGGAGTTTCTGTATTTTTCAAATGGTCGTACTCATAATTCCAGGAAGAGAAATTTTCCTGAATCCATTGAATTTGAATTCCTGTATTTCCTATGACTTTAGAAGAATCTTCCAAGTAACATGAAAATAATCACTATTTCAATTTTTTTAACATTTAAAAGTGTCTACAGTGAGGTATTGCAGAAAAATCCTTGCACTGCAACTGAAGGGTTACATGCTTTTTTCCCCACTTGTTCCCAATTTATCCTCTCAAGGTTTCCTACCTGGGTCAGGAATAATTCTGCTGATATGGCTCAGGATTAGTCAATTGAGGCAAAATTGATGTTTAGTAATGTAGGATTGTTTATAATCAGCTTTTGGTGAGGCTCAGTGAGTCTTACCAAACCAAATTTTGGCAAGGCTCACAGGAAAAACATGTTCTGCCACTGGTTTTGGCAGTTCTGCCTCTTTTAGAACATGTCAGTGCAATATACTGTCTATTTAGTGCTCTAGTTATCTAGTGTATTTCCTTGAGTACCATGCACACTTTCTACTCAAATTTAAGAGAAAATGTGGGATGTGCACCATATAGTCGGGTATACATCTTTGAAAAAGTTTTAGAAGTGTAAATGTGCTTTATACTTGATTCTCTCAGTGAATTTATTTTGATGGAAATACAGTGACACCCAAAAATTTACCACAAATCTGTTACTCAAAATTCTATTTTTAAAAAATTAAAACTTTTTCTTTTTACCATTAATTTTTGATGGAACAGAAGTCTGTTATGCAGATTTAGTATGTAGCACAGGGGGGGGGGGCTGTCTCCAGAGGCAGTCTGTTGTGCAAAAATCTGTTCTGAGGGGGTCAACCAAAAAAAATGATTTTCTTTGATATTGGGCTTCATCTATTGGCAAACCAATTGAAAATATTTCTGTTGAAGGCTATGGAAAATGCTTGACTTATATACAGTGAGACCCCACATATGGACATAATTGGTGCCTCAAGAGTGTCCCTACATTGAATTGTCCCCAAGTCAAGTCTCATTTTCCCATAGACTTATCATTATATAATTTTAAAAAGAAATAATTTCCAGAATTCCATGAGAAAATTTGTTTGCCACTTGAATTTGATTCAGTGAATATCTTTTCAATCCAATAAGAACATTTGGAGCATTGAATAGTATACTGCTGTCCAGTTCATTGAAATGTTGGTACAGGTGAACGTCACTAAGTTGAGCCTCCCCAAGTTGAGTACCTCTTTAACTTGAATTTTTTTAGTCCCTGTCTGGATTCCCATAGAAACAATGTCTTAAAAACCTCCCTAACTAAAAATATTTTTCTCTCAAACCTCTGTAAGTCAAAATTTCTAATGTCTTTTGGTTATTATTTCCTTGAAATATGAAAGAGGAAATAAACAAAATGAATTATTTCATGCATTTAGAAATAAAGTGAAGGACTAATTAAACAAATGAACCCCTGCCTAGAAGTTCAGCAAGCTTTAAACTCATTAAGAAGCAAGTTTAGTCCCAGATTATCCTTATCTACAATTTCCCATTTTCCTTGGAGCAAAAATATTTGTTTCCTTTACCCCAAATCTCAAAAAAATCTAGACCACCTTAAGTCAAATTTTTTTCTGGTCTCTAGAAATTTGACGTAGAGAGGTTCAACTCTATCTGTAAAAATAACATCCAAGTCACAAAGAGAGAAGGAAGTTCCCACTGTGATATAGGTAATTTTTAATATCAGCTGAAAGGATGGGAAAGTGATGGGGGGGAAAAAGAACCAAAGAATTTTTCTTGCATATNTTTACATTGTGCTATAGGTATTTTTTTTCTATCAGCTGAATGGATGGGAAAGTGAAGGGGGAAAAAGAACCAAAGAAATTTTCTTGCTTAGATCTTAGGGTTGGAAATATCTGTTTCTTGCAATTAATCCTAATAAATGTCAATGTTCTTGAAATTTATTGGCAATTTTATCATGACAATATCCTCATGGCAAGTCATCAGTGTCCATATGTGGGGCCTTTTTTTAAATGATATTTTCATTGAAAAATTAATGTCCCTATGTCAAATTGTCACAAAGATAGAAGGAAGTTTACATTGTGCTATAGGTTATTTTTTTCTATCAGCTGAATGGATGGGAAAGTGAAGGGGGAAAAAGAACCAAAGAATTTTTCTTGCTTAGATCTTAGGGTTGGAAATATCTGTTTCTTGCAATTAATCCTAATATAAATGTCAATGTTCTTGAAATTTATTGGCAATTTTATCATGACAATATCCTCATGGCAAGTCATCAGTGTCCATATTTGGGGCCTTCTTTTATGATTTTTTAATTGAAAAATAAATGTCCATATGTAAAATTGTCACAAAGAGAGAAGGAAGTTCACATTGTGCTATAGGTAATTTTTTTCTATCAGCTGAATGGATGGGAAAGTGAGGGGGGAAAAAGAACCAAAGAATTTTTCTTGTGTAGATCTTAGGGTTGGAAATACAGTACAGTATCTGTTTCTTGCAATTAAGCCTAATAAAAGTCAATGTTCTTGAAATTTATTGGCAATTTTATCATGACAATATCTTCATGGCAAGTCATCAGTGTCCATATGTGGGGCCTTCTTTATTATTATTTTTTCATTGAAAAATAAATGTCCGTATGTCGAATTGTCCCCATGTCAAGGTGTCTCTGCATGTGGGGGTCTCACTGTACTGTACTCTGTATTTGTGTGCTGTATGGGGTGGGTATAAATAAAGCCTACCCGTCGGCGGTTGGGGCGTTCGACGACGCTCGGAACGCGGCGGGCGGCGACCTTGATGGATCCCGTGGGCTCGGGGCGGTCATCGGCCAGTTTCCCCATGAGCAGGGCGGCGTAGAGCGTGTCGCCTAGCCGGCGCCCGCGCTCGAGCCCCTCGCTGAACCGACACAAGTAGGGCGGCGGGCACTGCGCCGGCGCCACGGCCAGGAAAAGGTCGGTCGAGTCGTCCAGCACTCTCGGGGTCGGACCGGAAATCGAGACGAAGTCAGCATTTTCGCCGCGAGGTCATTTGCCCGTCGAATTTTTTATTTTGTACATAGAAATTCTCTCGTTCGTCGCGTTATTATTATAATTGACGGAAAGAGATGATGGATGGATTGTTTATAGATATTGTTTGAGGAGGAGAAGAGGGCGGAATCGCAAAAGCAAAGGCCTGATGCATGCAGTTGATGTCCTTGATATATATGTATAATCTCTGAGATGGTCTTCTTTATCTTCGTCTCGACTTCCAGCGGGCACTGCGCCGGCGCCACGGCCAGGAAAAGGTCGGTCGAGTCGTCCAGCACTCTCGGGGTCGGACCGGAAATCGAGACGAAGTCAGCATTTTCGCCGCGAGGTCATTTGCCCGTCGAATTTTTGATTTTGTACATATAGAAATCAGTACTTCTCTCGTTCGTCGCGTTATTATTATAATTGACGAAAAGAGATGGAGATTGAGATGATGGATGGATGGATTGTTTACATAGATATTGTTTGAGGAGGAGAAGAGGGCGGAATCGCAAAAGCAAAGGCCTGATGCATGCAGTTGATGTCCTTGATATATATGTATAATCTCTGAGATGGTCTTCTTTATCTTCGTCTCGACTTCCGGTCCACCACCACCGAGATCCGGTTTTTCTTTTTTGCGTGGACGAGATCTCGACTCGCTCTCGCGGAGGGGAATTTCTTTTTCTTTGCGTTTTCCGGCGATGATCGGAAAGATAAATTTTGGAAGGGCGATAAAAGTCCGCGAAAGAAGTTCCTGGAAAATTTTTGCACTATTTTCCAAGCAGAGGCACTGCCTGTTATTGTGGCGTGGCAACCTTCAGTGTCTCAGTCATTTATATGTATACTAATGTATATTGTAAATCCATGTGGGTGCTGTGCATTACTCGGATATAAGAAGTGAATTGGAAATGAGAATCGGTGTTACGGTGTACATTCAAATGCCTGCTGGGTAAATGGGCAGATTTGGGTGAGAAAAATCAGGGGGAAAATCCTGGAATCCTAACAAATACAGTACAGTACAATATATAGGGCAAAAAGTGTTGTACTGTACTGTACAGTTAAACCCCCTTATCAAGTGGAATTTCTATATGGGGACCAGCAAAAAAAAAAATTCAACTGAGGGAGGTTTAGAATTGTAGACATTTAAGCAACTAAAACAAACATCCAGAAAACAAAGCCCTTATGTTCTGGGAAACATAGATGACTAGGTGTCTCTATGATGAACAGTTTTACTATGACATACATGAGTCTTAATAAAGCTGCTCAATGTGGAGGCAAGGCACAGTGCTTCATTTTTTTTCAATTTAATATTTGATGATGTTGAACCTGCTGAATTTCAACGCATTTAATTTCTATGTGGAATATGTTGCAGGCAAATAATTTAATATGAATCAATTTCTCAATGAACCCAAGGGGCAAAAAGAAAGTGATCTGGCCCAAGAATAACTTGCTGACTGAGAACTAATTTGTTTCTGTACTTCATGGAACTAGTAATTTTAATTCACAGAAAATAAAGCATTCAATTTTTCAAAACTTGCACAGTTGCTAAATTTTCCATATTTAACATACATTGTTTGCCTGATGCATCATCTTCATCAATGAAGGTGAAATTCATGAGAGATTTGATGGAGTAAATGTTCTTTCAATATCATTAGGAAGCTTCAAGAACATGTTAGAAAATATGGTTAATTACATGATTTAAACACATATTTTAAGCTAGTGGTTGGGGTACCTGACTGTTCCAGAGGATGAAAAGGGGTACACCCTTCAAAAAGGTTGAAAAGCCCTGACATTGAAGAATTGCCAAAAATTGTATATGGTGCTTTTCTGGGGCTTAAATTGCTTCTTGAGTGAGTTGAAAGGATGCTGAACTTGGAGGCAGGGGTTCATTATTTGCCCAATTGAGCCTTTCATTTCCTTTCAAAACAGATCAATTTCTGTTTTTATTGTTTTTTTATTTCTTTCTTGTGTGGTGAAAATAATAGCCAACAGGCCTGAGAAAATTTGACTTATGGAGGTTTAAGGAGAAAAGCTTTTGACTTAGTGAAGTTTTCAATGTATTGTTTCTTAGCAGACTCAGACAGGGACCTAAAAAAATTTTGACTTTGAGAGGTTCAACTGATGGTTATGCGGGTGGACTCCCTACACTGTACTACAAAATTCAAGGACTGACCAGAGAAATTTGTGAAATTTTAATTTTTTGTAGATTTATAGGGGCTCTTATTCTTATGCTACAAATTTTTCTGGTCCATCCTGGAATTTTATTGCAGAGAACCCCTATAACTTGGGTAGAAAACATGAACCACTGTGGCCTTGTGGGGCAATGAAAATTTTTATGTACAGAGAAAAGCATTGTAGACAAAATCTTCAAAGGAAGTCTACCTGTTTTTTGCTTGACAAACAGCAATTACAGGTGGACTCTCCCTGCAACAAAATTCAAGGGACCATAAAATTTTGTAAAATTTGAATTTTGTTGTGAAGAACCCCTATAATATGGGCAGGAGACAGAGCATTAAGGGACAAGACATATGTCATTGCACAAATAAAAGGATAAAATTGTCAAAGGGATTCCACTTGATTTTTGCTTGATCATAGCAAAATTTTGTGCTTGATCAAAACATTGTTAAAAAGTTATACAACAACTCTTGTTCAAACAATAGGTCTTTTTTTAGTAACAGTTGTTCTAACACCAGATCTTAGGACATAACTTAATTTAAATTTTTTATATACAAGTTGTTTTAAAAGTTCAAACTGATTGAATTAGACCTCATTCCATAAATGTTTTCTGAAACTTATGAGGACCCTGAATCATGTGTCTTGAATGCTGAAGGAAAAAATTGTCTCTGCATGTTTTCATTTGTTGTCTTCAAAATGATGAATGAACAAGAAACATGCTGGTGCTAAATATTACACTGAATTATCAATTCAGCTCTGTATTTGCTAAATTTGTATAATTTAATTTTTATTGTGTATTTGATCTAAAAACTTGAAGTCATCAGCAATCTCTTGGGAGTGGATCAAAATAAGTGCAGTAATATCAATAACTCATCTTCCTCTGCTGACTGTTTGATTTGGATATACAGGTGGTACCTTGAAATTCAACCCTAATCTTTTCCTGAACCATAGCATCAAATAGCAAGACAACCCCTGAAATTAAAAAAAAATACGTAAACAAATGCAAAAAATGGCCAAAGCTGGTCAAATCATGGGTTAAGGGTCAAATTTCAAGTCAACCTCCTGGAAAATTCAATTGTCAAATTGAAGGATGGACAAATTGGGAGGCACCACCTGCATGTATCTGGAATTTGGATCCTGATGTGTGATGGTGGGGATGTATGCTATTTTGTTTTCTTAATTTGAAAATTGTCTGTTTGTGGTCTTGAAAATAAAAGCCAAATAATCAAGACTTTCAGTCTTGCCTGTTTTCTTCATGAAACATATTTTGATTATCATGCAATTTTTGAATATATGTGCTGTACCCTGTACTCTATATGTACTGTATATTTTTACAGAGATTTTGTGAAATCATGATGGTGAATAATTGGGATGAGTGCTGTGAAAATAGCGAGGAAATGGCGAGTGGAACCAACATTTGAAGCAGAAGAACTCTGGCCTGTGCTTCTGTTTCCGCCATATTCCCCATATAAAAATGAGCAGGATTAAAGAAGATGTTGCTGGACATACGAGGGATGGTTCATAAGTTTTGAGACTTCATGAAATATATCCAATGGAGTTTCAAAAATTCATAGAAAAAACATTTTATTTGCTTAATCTCATCCTGTTAACACTTCAGTACAGTACTGGTCAACACACTCTCTGCAAATGTAATGCATTTTTTTATGCCATAAATCCAACAATCAAAGCAGTTCCATATATTGATTTGTATTGGTTGTTTAGAAACCTTATGTGTCTTATTATACTGGCTGTTTCCATCAGTGAAGAACAGCCTGAAAGAAATTGACTTTGAAGACACTAATATATAGGGACAGCCTCATTTCTACCATTGAAGAACAGCTTATAATCAATTAACAGAACTCAATTATTGCCACTGTTTTGGTTGAAAGAATTATAGCATGAAAAATTCAATTGAAATTGGTGGAGTCTGTGTTGAACAGCACTCTAAGTGTTGCCAAATGAAGGGGGTAAATGTGAATAAAAACGTTCTTTGAATTTCTGAAACTGTAATTGATTTACAGTGAGACCCCAAAATGTTGATGCAATTTGTGTATCAAGAGTGTCCTGATGTTGGGATGTCCCTCAGTCAAGTCTCATTTTCCCTTAGACTTCAATGCTATTAATTGGTTTTCCTTTACGTCAAAAATTAGAAATAATTCCTCAAAAATGTTGATAATTTTTTCCCCTCAACTTCAAGTTAAAGAAAACAACAGTTCAGAAAAAAACCACATAGAATCTGATCTGTTGGTATCAAAAAGAGATCATCAAAAAGCAAAGAAAAAGAAGTCCTGCTAGAATATGCACAGATATGACAAACTCAGAAAAAAAAGAAGCAAAAGATCAGCTTGTTTTTGATTATGAATTAGTGTGAATTTATCATGAAAATTTTCATTTTTATTTTTGTGAATACATTGAGGCTCCCACATGCAAACACCTTGACCTTCAGACAATTCAACGTAGGGACACTTATTTTCCCATAAAAAATTAATAAAATAGGCCCAACATGAGGACACTGTCTTGACATAGGGACATTTTTTATAAAATTGCAAATACATTTCAGGCCAAATTACAAGAAACAGA